AGGAATGGCCCCGCATAGCTTTGACACAGCAATAGCCAACTTCTCATGATGGTGCAGTGCATGTGATCCCCCAATAATCACTACTTCTTGGTCATCATGAACCAACTTTTTCACCTGAAGAAAACAAAATACCCACATGTGAAACTCATTAACTTGCTTCTTGAGCATCACACGAGAACAGCTATAATGCCCTCAACAGAGCCCAAAAATACAACCCAAGCAATTTCATTTGCACACAATGCAAAAAAGACTTTGATCCAACTAACATATAACACAGTTATTCAGGACAACCCTCTATGCTTTTAATCAGAAGGTTTAAAAAGTAGCGTTCCGTAGTAAAGCATGATGGAACACAGTAGTTAGTCAGTGTATCAGCTATAGCACAGTATGATCCACTAAAATTTTTTAGATGTTATTCCAGATAAAGATACAAGAAAAAGGGCTAAACCCAGGCTTTAAAAACATAAGCAATATAAAGATGCCATTCAAGATGAGTTTCTTACCTCTGCTTCAATTGCCCCAATATCTATGCTGTAATTATGACCTTTTACCATAATATTATACCGGTTGTGGTTTTGGAGGACAATAATAGGTATAAGCAGCCTTGTGGTCAGATCAACAGTTTCAAACCTGAGGTCACCCAGGACAAACAAATAAGCAAGCAACTAAACAGGCACTAAACCTGCAGTAAATAAGATTGCTAGTAAGGTATGGAAGCTGGGCATTGTTCATAAATCATAATCAACTATGCTTCCAACTTTAAAATTTTGAGAAACATAAAATGTATGTATTAATCAATGAATGAAGATAGTGTGAAATTACCGAACATCTGGAGCTATAACATGCTCAACTGTGGTTGCCACCAAAGCAGCCAGATGTCCCATGAAATTATCATGGGTAGCATGAGTATTGACAGAAGCCAAACCACCTGGAAATAAGATACTACGTATTCGTGGCAATGTTCTGGGACTTACACTTCCTTCTTCAGTTTCAATCTTCCCATACGTGCAAGGGCCAGCAGAGAGGCGATCACAACAAATCTGAACAGTGAAGACAGAAGTGGGTCCCAGAGAAAGAGAGAAAAAAAGGAACAGCAAAAAATGAAAGAGAGGTTATACAACAGCTGATTGAGAAGTGGAATTTTATGTTATCACATACTCAAAAGTTAAACTTCTTTAGACGAAGTATGCAACTAAAAAACAGACCTTTGAGAGCCCAGCCAAACTTGAGTTGCTCCTCCTCCATTGTACCGATATCGATATATATAGTCTCCCTCTTGTTGTTTCATTCTTCATAGTCAGTGGGGCAAGTTTGCTATACATCAAACTATCAAGATCAACCTCCTTATTCCTAGGATCGATTCTGACCTAAAAAAGACAGAATCATTCACCATTGCATCAAAAGGAAAAATCTAAATCAATGCATCCATGAAAGGAGGAAAAAGAAAACTAAAATACAAGGAATAATCAGAAACATGGGTTTCTGGCATTTGTATAACTTTTCTGGACAGGTGAGAAGGACAATAAGTATACCAGACTCAAAATTTTTGTACTGACAAAGCACGGCATTGACGTTCAAAATTTGAGCCAGCTTATACCTTGTCAAAGTTAACAATAAATATAGCAGCCGGCAAGGTCTATCCACCTCTTTGGCAGAATATCCCCCATTATCCATGTCAAATATATGAATATAGCTTTTGGAATACTGGCTCCACAGCTGTTGCTTCCACCTCAACAGGGGCACCTCTCTCCCAAAATCGGACTAAATGTAGAAAAAATAGAAATTCATTTACAAAAGATTTTATATAGTTACTTTTCCTTTCAACAATCAAGAGTAATAGTAAATATGAAGCAATATAGTAGACCTCTCTGCAGAACCAGCAGGAACCATGGCTTCCTTCAGTGCCTTCTCAAGTGCAATCAATTCTGGCTGTCCTGCCTATTGTACGACAAATAATTGAAGAACAAACTAGCTACTCAGTTTGTGAAGGCTGAAGCTTAGACCAGTAATAATTATTAAGCTGCAATAAGGAATGAAAGATCTTACAGGAAATGTGTTATAACAACATGATGTTCTATCGAGGGGCTCCCAGTCTCAAGACGAAGGCCTATGGAGGAAAGCTGACACGCAGAAACTCCTCAATTTAGGTGCATCGACTGTGTACCGATAGCCACCATCTCCATGAGGCCAATTAGCACCACATTCACTTCGAGTGGAACCTGAAATGGAACCTGCAAAAGAGAACCTATTTTAATCATACCAGTGATGAGTAACAATAATCTAACATTACTACCTCCAAATTGTAAGAGATTTCTAGAACGCAATTTGAATTTTGAATTACATTTTAGGGAGATCAACTGCGTAGCTCAAATTCAGTCATTTTGTCAATTCGACTATCTAAAAAAACATTGATGAAAATTGGTGAGAAAAAGTTGATATTTTTTCTTTTAGAGATTTAACAAGATCTTTAGAAGAAATATTCTAATCACCACAAGAATGAGTAAAACTAAGCTAAGTCACTAACTCCTCAAATTTCTTGAGATGCCTGGAACGCAATCCGGATTCGAATAACATTTTTTCGGAGATCAACTATGTAGCTAAAATCCAGTCATTTGGAGATATTTACGTAAATTCAACGCTCTAACATACTCAATGACAAACTCGACGAAAACTGACGAGAAAAGGGTTTATATATCAATTACTTAAGAGATTTAACAAAGATTTTGAGAGAGAGAAGCGGTTACCTCGGCACGCGTGTGGAGCGTGCGGCGAACATCGGATCGGACGCTGTCGCGAACTTCGAGGAAGGCGCTATGGTGCCAGTGAGGGTGACCGGGGTCTCTTTTGAAAGCTTGTCGAACTGACTTGGAGTAAGAGACGTCCACTCAGTGCAACGAGAAATAACATAAACGACAACCTTGATCTCGATTCCATCTCGGTGATAAGAGAGAGAAGAAATGCGTCTATTTCAATTCTCTATGAGCATTTAGCCTGCGATTACATTATCGGCGATGAGTTGCGCCTACCACACTAAAAGGGTAATTATTGATCTTTTTACCAAAATTATCCCTGCTTTTGCGGATAAATTACGAGGTGAAGAATGGAGCGTTTATAATGAGCCTTTTAATGGATATTCAACTTGGAGCACCCGATTGCATCCTCTCCTCACTTCACGAGAGGTAATGAATTTACATATTTTTTTTAGCTCAAGTTTTCATAATTTTTTTTATAAAAATATCTTGCTTTATAAAAAAAAGAGAAAACGTTTAAAATTATAATGATGAATTAATTAAATATATAACTAAAACATTTTTTTTATAATAATTGACCTAAGAAATTAGACACTTAAGATCATACAAAAATTATACAAAATGTTAAAAATTAAACTAAACTCGAACAAACAATAGATACAAACATATCTGACTGCATTGACAAACGAATAAAATGGATCAAAATATGGAAAGGCTAGCGATAAACCGTAAATCAAAATAAAACACGTGAGAAAACTATCCACAAACATAAATTGTGTATCGAAATTCAATCCGATGGTAAAAAACAAGAGAGATCATTATGATAACAATTAAACACCATATTAATCAGTCGAGACGACACCAAATTCAATCCTAAGAAAAAGCTAAATGAAAATAACAACCAAACGATTAATAAAGAAAACAAAAACCATATCAAAGGATAAAGAAAACTACATAGGAAAAAATGTACCATTAAAATAGAATTATTAAAAATTTAAAAATAAAGATAAAATATAAAAATTATGTCAAACCATTAGTCCTACTGCTTTATGGTTGAATTAGTTTCAATACATCGATTTAGTTCAAAATGTACATTATTACTCTTGAGTGAATACTAATTTTTTTTAACTGCTTCTGATAGAATGGGTTTAACTCAATTATTATTAACTTCTCAGAATCTATGGAATTATAAACGTGATGTTCATATCCATTTTAGGATGTATCCCTTGACAAGTGTTCATACCACTATTAATTTGTATTATCTTTGAGCTTTATCTATGTACTAAAACATTATATCAATTTCCTTCGCAATGCTGTTAAAAATCAATAAAATGATTTAAAAATCAATTATAATCTAATGCTATCCATAATCGATTAAATTTTATGATACAATAAGCCAAAACAATAGTGTCCCACCACAGCAATAATTGCTAAACTAAAATTAAACAGGTTGGGAATTGCAACTAAAAATTTTAATTTCCTATAAATTTTAAATATATTTTTATTAAAATCTATTCTCGTTCTATAAAATTTATAAGTTTGCCGTTAGTTTTTTAAAAATATAGGGTAAAGTACATAAATAATCCCTTGATTAAAGCGTTGTTTTGTTAAGTCCTATGACTATTAAAATTTATAAAATTGTCACTCGAGTCGACTATTCATATGTTATAAATTCACTTGTTTCTGTTAAAAAATTGATAATCATCAGAGATAGACATTAACATACTGATTGTGAAATAATAAAAAATTCTCTCATAATTATTTGAGTAATATTTTATGTATTGAGTATTAATTTACATTATGTTGTCAAACCACTACTTAAAACATTATTTCATCAAATTAATACTTAAAAGCAACAACAATGCTAGTAAACATCATTAAAGTATAATTTTATTATATCTCAATCAGTAAATTAACGTTCAGTTTAGACGATCGTCGATTTTTAACAAAAAATGATGAATTTAATACACATAAGTAATCAGATAATCATTTTATAACTTTTAATGACCGAGGGACTTAATAAAATAACAACCTATAATCAGGGCGTTTGTATATTTTACCCTAAAATTTAAGAGCTTCCAAGTCTCGAATGAGAATAGTGAGGAATTTGATTTCGAAAGACATTAATGTATTTATTAATAACGAGTTGTTGATAATAGTGATCAGTAAACATGAGTTCATTATGTTCTACTGCACTTCCAATGGCTATTAATACGGAGGCATTCCATACTCTCTCTTTTTTCTCTAAAAAAAACATTTTACATGAATCCTCTTAAAACAACAGCTCTCTATATCGCTATTCCGAGCAGTGCACCGTGAAATGTCTTCATGTCGGTATTGCAGTTTTTTTCCCGGGTGTTTCGGCCGAAAACCGGTTTAAGTGGGAAGCATGAATCTATCTGGTTCGTGAATAATTTACCTGTGTTCTAGTGCACTTCTAATGGATACTAGAGGATCTTGGACCGAACCTCTGGATATAAGATCGTGATTAAATAACACAATAACGGTTATATCGTCGTGAAAATGGCGTCGGACCTTCTTGTCGATCTTTCGAAGATCCGAATATCTCATTTCTCGTTTTCTAGCTGCTTCTTGTAAGGCGGCTTTGACCAGCCTTTTGGCACTCCCCTGCAATTGTAGAGGCTCATGAGAAACACCTTAAAACACTATTGAATTACATATCATATACTAATAAAACTCAACTACATGCAAAATCAAGTTTGTGAACTGTAAATGCAATGAATTTGGAAAAGATGGAACTCGTAATTGAAAATAACGAGATTCGGGACCAATAAAAGCAGTTTAGCATCAATAACAAAGAACCAGAAACGGGTTGTCAAAGTTATCAGAAACCAAAATCGGTATTAACACTAACCATGGCAATGCAATGACATCAAGAAGACGCATAATCAAGTTTAGGCATTCGAATATAGTCCCTACAGGAAATGGTGCGAAAAAGAAAAAGCTTTAATGCAGCAAACCATGCCTTCAATGAACATAGAAATAAATAAAAAATCTTACTGCACGAGGATGATTGTGGACAATATCCACAGCTTTTTCATTACTCAAGTGTTCCCAAAGACCATCGGATGCAAATATAAGGAAAGAATCATTTGGTTGGAGAGCATGAGAAATAATAGTCGGAATAGCACTCAATATAGGCATGTGCATTGGTTCGGGAAGTCTGAATTTTCCGTTAATTGGTTCCCTGTTATACCGCGCATGTTTCATATAAACATCACCTATAGATCTAGAAACCTGCATCAAATACAATCATGGAATTTATGGCATGACATGATGGTTTCAATAAACAGGGAATAAAGGCAATATATCTAATCAGTTCTGAAAAGCTTACATGAAAAGGAAAGTAACCAGGATAAGAATTCACCGATTTTAGATGATTCCCAGACCTATGTCTTATTCTAAGAACCCTACTAACTAATCAGTGCGTAAGCGTCTGAGGCTATGGTATCAGCAAAACAATCGTAGTTTTCCTAGCTACAATAGACATAAAACACTTCATTGCACGAGTCATAGACCGGCATCTCTTTGTTGGTTTTTGAAGATAAGCCTATAAAGCTAAAATCATATGCTGAAATTTGAAAGTTCTAAATGATGTGGGTGTTTATGTAACCTGAATGATGCCCTTTACTCTCCAGACTCCATGTTTGAGAACAACGATTTGCGGATCATGTGGGTGTAATTCCTTAAGTTCCTGCCTTATAGCAGCCATATTTGCATTGTGTTCGGTTGACAACTGCATAGCAGCCATTCCTCCAGTGTTGCCAACCTTCTTGCCCAGCACAACACGTGAATCACCAAGATTTGCAATGAAAAGAGTTTGCTGATGTATTACTCCAACCAGACAGCATGTCCCGACCGTTGCCATGTTCGGCCGAGTACTCCATGACTCTGACACAAGGGCGGTGAACCCTTCTTCCGTTTGACGAAAAGCTCTTTGAATGGTCTCGGATGTCACAACTCCCTGCGACTCGGCTGCTATTGCTGCATAAACACAAAGCCTAAGAATGCCAACATAAGAACAGCTGAACTAAGCCAATAGAGGGAATTCTTCGGTATTAAACGCAACTTGCACAACATAAATACATCAATCTCAGTAAGAATTTCAAAAGAACGAGTTCCCTATCTTCAAGATCACATATTTAGTTCTAAAAATATCCAAAGAAGGCACATCCTGGTTCTTTCGAACCGAATTCATTCTTATTTTTGCCCGAATAAGAGCATTTTGCTGACTGCTTTCAATTGTAAATTGATCCAAACATACAATACAGTTCGGCAGTTCCCATTTACTATGAACAATCTAAAAGAAAAACTCTGAATAACAACAAATCGAAGTTAACATCTTTCCGGTCAACAGAGTTGATTCATTGATCGAAAACACCCAAAGCAACGAACCTCGAAAGTGCTTGAACAGGTGATCGCAAACGTAACGAGCCGTCTCGGGTCCACCGTGCCCATCGTAGATCCCGACGAAAGTACCGTACTGGCCGGACTCGATCTGGCTCTGGTCCTCGAGCACCTGGTTCGCTTGGATCACGGCCATGGAAAAATCCCCGGACCCATATCTCAATATATCTCGATACCAAAGCAACCCATCTTTACCTTCCTTAGACCCATCACCACTTCCTCCGTCGCCGCCAAGAACGCCGTTGGTCTTTTGATTTCCCTTCTCATGCCCGAATGGCTTCCAGCAGAGCGAGAGAAGATTCATCAATCCCCGGAGCATCAGACATATCTCATCATAAAAGAACAAAAAGTACAAAAAAACCCAGAATCCCACACCACCGTAAAACTCCAAATTCAGCAATACGACGATGTGATCTGAGCTACTTTTTTTTTCTTCCAAAAGATACTCAAAAAACCTCCCACAAAGCCGTGAAACAAGGAATCAAAAGAACGATATATGATGATCGAAGAAAAGGGTATGCGTAGTATAAGATAATAAAGGTGGGGCGCAGTGAAAGGTGGGCGGTGGTGGGTGTTCGGTGGTGGAGGAACAAAGGAGGGTCGGTTGTTTTGGGGTGTTTTTTTTTCCTTTGAACAAAATGGGTGTTATTTTCAATGTCTTTTTGTTTGTAATGTAGTAACGGGTACAACATAAAATAATGCAAGAAAATCACTTCAAATTTTTTTTTAAAAAAAATTTCTTGGGAGTTCTTCGACATGTTTTTGTGTGTCTACCTGCCTCGATGCCGCACTTTTATACGGAGACAACTTTTTTTTTTTATAAAGATGGGTAGATGATGATGTTATATATTGTATAAAAGTAAAATGATTAAAATGGAGGGATGTTATTCGAGTTTTATGTGATAAGAAAGTGTCTCTAAAATTTAAGAAATTTTTTTATAGAATGATAATTAGATCAACGCTGCTGTATGAAACAGAATGTTGGACAATAAAAAATGATCATGTAAGGAGGATGGAGGTCACAGAAATGAGAATGCTTCGATAGGCATGTGGTAGGACTCTGTGGGACATGACACCAAACACTGTAATTAGGATGTCCTTGGGGGTGGTGCATGTATCCGAAAAGTTGAATGAGGGAAGACTATGGTGGTTTGGGCATGTCCTTAGGCGATAACTGTTGGATGCGGTCAGAAGGGTAGAGTCGATTACAGCCAACGGTGTCAGAAGGAGAGGACGACCAATGAGGAAGTGAGTAGACTGCTTGAGATCTGATTTGAATGATTTAGCCTTTACCGATGATATGACCTCTGACAGGAAAGTATGGAGACTTAAAACCAGAGTAGTCGAGTAGTGTGGGTCACAACAATAGGGTGTAACATCTCTGTCTTCTTTTTAATGCGTTTGTAGTAATTTTCATTACTTCTATTTTTTTACGTTTCTGTCATTGAAATTTATGAAAGTTTAGAACTAGGGTAGCGGAATAGTGTTGCCTTAGTTTATGTTTTAACCCGTTTGACTTTATTCTTTCTCGTAATTTTCTATCTCTTACTACTGTGTATCTTTCTCTTCATGTTTCCTCTTTTTAAATTTAGCTCAGACTTACGTTTCTGTCTGTAAGCAGAGATTTTTAGGCATGAATTTATTTGCAGTGATTATGTCCCATTACAGACGCGTATATGTAGACTGCATATGAAGACTATTTAACTATGTATTTATTTATTTATACATGCATTGTATTTTATCTTTATTTTTTAATTTTTTGACTGCCGAATGTCTTCCACTAAAGTTGTTCTCAACCTGGCGTTAGGGACAGCCTACTATCCTATATCCCCTTATCCCATTACATATGGGAATAGAGTTTTGTTGTTGTTGTTTCCTTTGATTTTGTGTTTCTTGTTTTGTTCTTCATCTTCTTTCCATTTCTTTTATTATGTGAAAGTAACTTTTTCAGTTCGATGTTTTTGTGCTCATTTAATCGATTTATTAACAAGTAACTACTATAAATAAAATATTGTAATTCTGAAATTTTATTCAGATCAGTGTAATTCTGAAAGTGTATTAAGATTAAGATAATCTTTAAATCTCATATACTCGGATAAAGGTGGAATCCATTTATATTGTTCTCTTTAATAAAATATTTTTTTGAGAAAAAAATATCAAAATTGTTAATTGTATTTTTTAGTTCGATATTTCTGTGATAATTCAATCGATTTATTAATAATTTTTAATTGAATATTATGTTAGAAACTCCAACATGTTTTAATTCTAAAAAGTTCGAGTTTCCTGCACTGCATTAAGCAGTTTTGAACTTGGTTCATGTTGAAAGAAAATAATGTAATTGGTAGATTTTATTTTTTAACGTGATAATCATTATAATTAAAATTTCAACATTTAATAAAAAATATTCAATATGATTTTGGCTACTATTCACCCACTTGTTGTCATTGGACTCATTTACACTACTATTCACCCATTTTCTTCTTCATCAAACCACCCCCATCACTCATTCTTAGGCTATTTTCTTACCCCCCCTTGATTTTGGCTCGTATCTTATATTATTCACTGATGATTTCATATGTAGGGACGTAAATGAATCAGACTTAAATAAATAATGATTATTTATGTTCGTTTATTTATTTTTAAAGGTGTTTATGTTTAGTTTGTGTTCGTTTGAGATTTTAATATTGTGTTCACGTTCGTTTGTTTGTTTTTTAAATTGTTTCGGTACGATTTATTTAGCGTTTGTGAACATATTTATTTTAACGTTCACGAACATACTCATTTATGTTTTTGCCAACATGTTTGTTTAGAGTTCGTGAACATGTTGATCAAGCACATTTGGTTGGTTGGCTAAATTACTCATATTTATTTCCTCATATTTCCTTAGGTCGTTGGTTCTAGACCCACTAGAATAACTCACCTTCCTTCCCCTAGAGTCTCCCCTTCACCTTCCTTCTAGGTAGGATTAGAATTAGATTTAAAATTCTTCAAAAAATAAATAAAAAAAACGTTTGCAAACATGTTCATGTATATGTTCATAACTGTTTAAAAAAATAGTAAAATTACGCCATTAATCTTTAAGCTCTTTAGGTTTAAGCTATTTAGATTTCACAGTTTGAGCTTCAAAATTTACCATGTGTTCAGTTTAGTCCCTGCCTTCACCAATATTTAAAATATATAAAAAAAAGGAATTGAATAAATAAGCTTATAAACAATTTAATAAACAAGTTTGTCTGTGAACATAAACGAACCGAACACACTTATGTTCGTGTTCGTTCGTTTTATTAAATGAACATAAAAAATTCGCCCATGCTCATTTAATTAGCTTAATAAGCATACATAAACGAACCAAACATACTTATATTCGTGTTCGTTCATTTATTAAATGAACATAAAAAAATTCATCCATGCTCATTTTATTAGTTTAATAAACGTACATAAACGAACTATTTATGAACATTTTATCGAACACTTTGTTCATTTATATCCCTATATCATAGGCATTGTTATTGGTACAATATTGATCTGGTTTTAAATTAACATCAAATAATATAAGTTTTGCTTTAATTCAAAATTTGATATGCTTGAATTATTGAAAAGCATACCCATAATTCTTAGAAGAAGTTTGAAGAAAGTTGATTGAAGGGCGACGCACTTTTATAATGGCGCATTGCCTGCGCGCCATATAAACAAGATATTGACATATAATTGACTCTGTTTCTCAATTATTTTCAACATCAAATGAAAAGGGGGGAAAGGTTTGTCTCCTGAGTTTCTTTTAGTGGGGTCAATTATTATTATTATTATTATTATTATTTTGTTAGTATGAGATATTATAAGGTAGTACGATATGCTTGAAAGGAAATATTATTAGATAAATTTAGCTCACTACGTCATCCGTGGTGTCAATCAAAAAAATCTATCTCAATTTTTAAGGTGAATTTTTACATCTTTCCTACATGTAAATAAAGAGTAGGTCATTATTTGGAAATTATTTTGTGATTGATGGATCTTATTGGTTGGGATCACGGATGACGTGGTAAGTAGGATTCTTCTAATAATTTTTCATTTCAAAAGACTCCCAACCATTTAATAACGATTTAAACACCTTTATAAATATAGTGTTCAAATTCGAAACTTTTAGAAATAATAATAATTTGTTTAACTACTAAAGTTTTTTAGTTCGTATAGTTGGGTTCAAATAACATAGTGGAATTTGCCAAATTGTCATTAGCTGTAATTGTCATTGTGCGTGGAGTTGGGGGAACACCGCAACCAAAATCAATCTCGGTCAAACGGGTTACGCCAAGGCACCTTCCAGCTCGGTGCTTGGTTCCCTCGGTCATCCCAGCGGTAACATCGCATGGCCAATTTGATGACATTCTGGCCATATGGGTGCCAAACTATGCGTAATTGATGCTGGATAATCTATATGGGTAAACTATCTATTTATTCATTTATCTATTACTTAGTTTCTATTTTTGATCATCGAACTAGTTTTTTTAAATTCATACTTAATTTATGTTTTGATTCTATTTTGATCACCCGTTATTAGAAATTTAATGATGATATTGACAAGTCACCATAAGATAATATCACATTAGTATTAAAAAAGTAACTAAAAATGTCACATCAGTACTACAGTTAATTTTTTAGCGAGGTGATCAAAACAGAACCAAAATGTAATATGAGGTGCGATTGAAAATAATAATTAGATGACTAAAACAGAAACTAAATAATAGGTGGATGACCAAATAAATAGTTTACTTTTTTTATTAATTTGAGGTGAATATAATGTAATATTTGTTCAAAGGCGACTATCAACTATTTAATAATGAATGCTCATACCCTTATTATATATGTGATGCTCAAATCCTAAACCTTAAAGGATAATAATAAATTCCTTATCGACTGAAACCGCTTGATTAATTTAAAAATTATAATTTAGTACATTTATTATCATACTAAGACTTAGAATTAAGTAAAGATGACAATAATTTTGCTAATCGCTGTATATGGGATTCATGTACCATCTAACTTTAGTAATATTGAAGTAAACAAGGCACCCAGATTTAGAACTATTTCTATTATACCCTATGAAACATAGTTTTATTAATATTTAAATATCTTATAATTAAATTCAAATAAATATTTATTTTTGTCCAACTCAAACTAAAATACATTTTGTCTAGGTTTAATTTGAACTAATTGGATTTAGTCTATATAGTTTAGTTGGATCAATTTGAGTTTATATATTCAATTTTTAAAATTTGACTAAAACAATATACAAATAATTTGAGTAAATTACAAGAATTTAAGACGATTAAATTGAAAATTAAGAACTAAATTTACAACTTATGTATAACATACATTATAGTATAATTTGACTTAATAGATTTAATTACTATTATTCAGACTACGACTAAAATTTCAAAGATATGTGGATTAAAAATAATCAAATTAACCATAAAGTGTTTGAATCAACTATAAGGTTGTTCCAGATTAAACAAGAGTTCGAGTTCGAAACTTTGAGAATGCAACGATACTAAATACTTGATGTGAGAATTTTGCGGCCATTGTTGTGTCGGATAAGGCATTTTGCAACAGTCACCGGAAACAATTCGCGTCTACGGAAAAACGGCCTCGTGCTTTAAAAAATCCAAAATAGAATATAAAGACCAAATCAACAATGAGTAGATTTAGATAGGATAATCGTTCCCTACGTCAGATATAAGGAACCCAATTACAATTTCTAATCACCTTATTTCATAGCAATTCTTTCTAACCACACCTTGTTTCCCAGTCAAAACTCCATAACCAGATAGCTTCACGAATGCAGAAGAGAAAACCCTAAAGAAATCACCCTCGTTCATGGCGAAATGTTGCATCAGGCCAACTGTTCTGGGATCCGATACCATTTCGGCATCTATTCTCACCAGTCCTCGGCCTCGCATCGCATTAACATAATATTGGTTATCGAATGCAAATGGCGTCGGATCGTTGAGAACAAAGCTTAAATTTGAGGCTAAAGATCCATCCCGACAGGTTAGCCTCAAAAATGCTGCAAAACTAGGCTCCATGGCTCTAAGCTCGCCATTTTTATGACCGTATAATCGGTTCTGGATGTTTGAACAATGCGATATCCCCAGCGTATGAGCACCTGCAAAAAAGGTAAAGATATTCATGTGTAGGGACGACAATTTAACTAAGAAATTGGTGTATTTCGACTTAATCTGATTTTATAGGATATATATTTTTTTTAAAAAAATCAGGTTCAGGTAGATTTTATATATGGTGAGGTTAGATTGGGTCGAATTTGGACGAAGGGTGAAAAATCTCCGACCCAACCTAATTCAAGACTAATAGTGTAATTTTCTCATATAAATTTACAGATAATTGTTATAATACTCTTTCCTTCTATAGTTTCTTTAATCAAGTTCTTATTTTATGTCGGGTCGGATTTATATTTCAAAAAATCGGGTAAAATCAGATTTAGATAGAGGAAATATGTTTTCTGGTCGAGTCGGATCGAATGGAAGATATATATTTTTCGAGTCGAATCCGATTCAGATGAAAGATATATATTTTAGAGTTGGATCGGATTGACTAAAAATCCAATCCAACCCGATCTGTTACCATCTTTATTCATGTGACTAATCCATATATATATATATACACGTTCAGTTCAATGTCTATTTGGAAGATATTCATGTGATTAATTACCCAAAATGGCGACGGATTCTGCAAGAGTCATTCCTTTCTTGGAGAAAATATTGAGCATATCAACAACTCCAGTTGTTGCAGGAGGGAGCAATGCGTCAGCAAGTCGATAGCTAGGGGCCTGCGATGAATCCCGCCGCCCCAACGGAACGTTAATCCATGGCCCTCCGGAAGCGGCCACGGCTTCTCGAGCTGCCAATATGAGAATGTCGGCACAAGAGACTTGTTGGGGGCATTGAGCTTCCACCATTGATTTAACAATGCTTATCAACTCCCTCCTCCTAATTCCAAAATTCTTATTTGCTTTCATCTCCGTTGCATCACTTCCACTACCTGGATCAACTAGAACGGAAGCATCACATCCCTGAGATAAACAAAATTAAAATGTCAAATGAGACATATTCTTATGGTTAATTATATAATAACTGATATTTGATTGACTGCAAAAAAATATTTTCCATCGTTTGATTGAATAGTCACTATGATTTATATTTAAAAAAAATTGGGTAAAAAGATCCTTTGGTGGATAGAAACCGTTAGTCAACAAACGGTCAACACTCCAAAATATGAGTCTTTTTGCCTTAAAATGAAATGTGAAGAGTAAAATGCTCCCAAAAAAATAAGAGCTAAAGTGTTATTTAGTCAAACATTAAGGACATTTTTACCATAAAATGAAATATTAGGGTTGAAAATGCCCTTAAAAAAGTATAGGAACCAAAGTGACTATATAATCAAATATTAGAGACATTTTTTTCGGATTATTCCTATATGATTCGTTAATCGACTAATTCAGATTCGATAATATAAGAGTCTATTATAGGAACGACCATCCCAATGGAATAAAATAATGAACTAAAATGTACCTGAACTTGACAGTCATGGAACATAAGCCTCAACAAAGCAGCTGGAGAAGTGGGATCGGTGAGAAATAAAGGGCGAAGGCCATCTCTCACAATGTCCTCAACTTGTGGGCATGTTTTTTCATAGAAATGATAAGAAAGCCCGAAGGCATTAACATCAAATCTAAAACTTTGAAACAAGAAGAATACCACAACTATGGTTCTCATAATTGAAGGTATGGGAGATAATAAAGACAACAGAAAGATTTGTTTTGGGGTTTATATATAGCACAACAATGAATCCCTTTTGAATGGGAAAACATGTATTTATACCACTTTTCCATTAATGATTACTAGAAAGATGTAAAGGCTGCCAAATTGTATCATCTGAACGTGACTCCACCAGTTCGGTGAGAATTGAATTCCCCCACCGCAATGAATTCAGCTCTATATTTCACCACGAAAAGGGCATTAAATGTTGTGATTTACACTCTGTGCACATTAAAAGAAACTGTGGGATTCTGCTGAACTTTCTCGGCTGGTTTCAGTTGTTTACATTTGTCATTTAATATTGCAGTTTTCTCCATTTGGGATTGAAGATTTATGGTACCCTGCCCTCGGAAATGGCAATTAATGATGAAAAAGAGTAAGCAAATGGTTGGTATTGAGTGGAAATACCTAACATGCATTCTCATCAGACAAGCAGGCCCTGCAAATATCATTTTTGCTTAGCTTTTTATTCTTGGATTCTAATACTTATCGGTTTCTAAATAAAGAGAGGCTCAGAATTTGTAATTATATTGGCCCCTATTCAATTTTATATGAGCTAGTATTAGTATATGAATGACTTCTCTTAACAAATCAACAGATCTTCAACTTATTAAAATATGAGTTGAGTTAAAGAACATATCTAATCCGATCATATCTATTTAAATTCCACAATAGTTCAACAATTTAGTTAACATGTCTCAAGATGTTGATTAATACTCGATAAAGATACCCAATGTATTTCATAAAATGTGATTAGTCCTTCACATTTATTGTGTTCAACATCTCAATTTTAAAGATTCGATGAATTTATTAAGTATATATCAATAGAACCACTAAAATTTTGGATATGAATTTGTTTAGAATATTTAGTGACTCATCATATAAATTCGACGAATTCATCATTTTCTTTTCAAAAGGATCATTTGAATCCTAAGCTATGAACTCAAAGGATTTAATAGTTCATCATATAAATTCAATGAATTTATCAAATTCGTCTCAATAAGACTATTCAAACCCTTGACTATAAATTCATTAAGAGTAAAAAGTACATCTTTATGTATTTATGTATGTATATTGTATGCCATAAAAATAAATAAAGAAAGATGTACATTGTAAGTCTTTTTATGATTTCCTTTGACCATATTAAATTTAAAAGACTATTAAGTTGGATATCATTCCTCAATGGATATGCTTAAGACTCAGCTCTTGACGAATCATTAACCCCTCCCTTTAACCTTTTAGTTAAAGTATCAACAATGTTATTCTTTATTCTCACGTACTCTAAAGTCAGTACTGTATCTTTATCATATACTCTTATACGTCTAACCCATTTGTGCTTTATTCTCACAAATATAAGCCTAAATTCTAGTCACAAAAAGATAAATTGTGAGTCACATACTAAGCACAAGAATATAGCTAAGAGACAAGTGAATTAACAATAAAATTTTTGTGAAAACTTTTGTAAAAGTTTAAATAAAAATTTGATACAAACAATTTAGAGTGATTCAACTTTTTTAATAAAATTTATATTCACTACCTTAGTTTTTATACTACAAAATTTATTAAATTAATTTGATCAACATTTAAGGATAAAGCCTAATCTTACAACCCTCTTAATATCTATACCACAAAAATTTTAAGACAACACACTTTCAAAGAGCAATTACAATATCAAACCATGAAAAATTATCATTGGGCAATTTGTTTGCAATTTAAGCAGTCATACACAGAAGATTTCTAGTAAGCTAGTGTTGGATAAAAAAAACAAAAGAATTACAAATAATAATATTTTTTTAGCTTAAAGATGATTGAAAAGGTTTTGGTTTTATCTTTAAATATGTTTTAAAATTTTGTTTTTATAGTTTTTCATTGAATTCTAGTAGTTAAAGTTATTGGAAAGCGTCACAGACCCATTGGGGCTCGGATGGCGGTTGAAATGGAGTTCCCGAATGCGGTGATTGAAAGTGGTGCTTTTAATGTGGTTAATCGGCTGTTGAACCATCCGTCCTGAGGTTCTACTTGTCAGAAGCTCCACAGCTCCTTAATGCTTATCCTATAATCACTGTATGTTACACTCGGCGGGAGGCTGATGGTACGGCACATGCATTAGCTCAGTTTGTTTCTATTACTGCCCAACCTTTGTACTTTGAACGCAATATTCCATCATGTCTTACTGCTATTGTAACTGAAGATGGCCATTTTAATGAATGAAAGATGGCATTGAGCATCAGTTCATCAGAGTCGCAACTTTTACTGTTAAAATTTACAGGGGTATATTACGTATTTAGTATCTAAACTATCAGTTTTAGTCTGTTTTAGTATCTAAACTTTTAATTTTTTAAAATCATACCTAAAATTTATTTTTTATTTCATTTTAATACCCCATCGTTAAAACTTATTATGTTTAGTACCTAGACTATCAATTTTTATCCGTTTCATTACCTATTTTTTTAATTTTTTTCAAAACTTAGGTACGATTTAGGTGCTAAACGTGTTTTGGTACCTAAGTTTTCAATTTTTTTTCAAAATTTAACGGCGTGGTATTAAAATGAAACAAAAAATAAATTTTAGGAATAGTTTAAAAAAATAAATAAAAAAATAAATACTAAAACATATCAAAACTGATAATTTACGTACTAATGTTATCTTATTTTTTAACTTTAAATTAGAACGATTCTTTTTAGACTTTAGCTCTTTTCAGTCAAAGGAACGATTCTTTTTAGACTTTAGCTCTTTTCAGTCTAAGAGAAATCTTAGTCCAGTTTAGTGGTGAAGTGCATGGCCCTTTGGATTTGAATCCTCTTCTTTTTAGTAGATAATTTATTTTTATTTGATAAATTTAAATACTATAAATTTTGATGAAAATATAATAAATTTTAATTTTGATTTAGTGGTTAAGTACAATAAAAGATTAGGAATTCAATTGCTTCTCTCTTGATAATTAATTTATTTTTAAATGATATACGATTAATAAAGTGTTAACAAGTCTAATAATCATATAATTAATTATAGGGTAAAGTATATAAATAGTCCCCAAACTTTTAGGATGCTTACATTTTGGTCACCTAACTTTCGAAACTTGCAATACAATCATCAAACTTTTAGTTTGGTTTCAATAAGATCCCTGTCATTTCCTCCTGTTAGTTTCAGCTAACGTGGCACTTAACCCCGTTAACCCTCTCTCTTCTTCTTCTTATCCTTCTTCTTCTTCTCTCAACCCACCTCCGACCAACGGTGGCTCAGACCGCCATCACCATCATCACCGGCATCGCCTCCTAACCACACCCCGACCCTCGGTTCATACTCACCGTCCACCGTTCTTCCCAAATTATGAGAAGATCATTCAAACACCCATTCCCGAACTCCGTCGTCAGTCGTCGATGACCATTACCGCTGATACCAGTAAGAGCGCCACCCCATTCCAACCAAAATCCCGCTAGCCACTCGTCGAGACTCACCTCCGTTCGCTGTGGAGAGAGCCCCCCGAATCTTGTTGAAAAAACCCCAACACCCCTTTTTTGTTTTCATCGATTTTTAGCTGATTGGTCCATTCGCCACACCGCTACCAGTGTTGGAGTCCACACCGTTTCGACCAAAACCTCACTAGCCACTCACCGAGACTCACATTCGTTCGTCGTGGAGATGGCCTCGAATCTCGTTGGAAAATACCAACGCCCCTTTTCTGTTTTCATTGATTTTTGGTCGATTGGGTTATCTGTTCGCCAAACCCACTACAGCAAAACTGATATGTAGCGGCGGTTTTAGCGGCGTTTGGAGAGAAAACGCCACAAAAGTTAAACATATAGCATCGTTTACAATCGTAGAGCCACAAATTGATACTTTAGCGGCGTTTGTTGTAAAAACGCTGTAATAGAGTTGACATATAACGGCGTTTATACCACAAACACCGCAATAGATTAACATATAGTGGTGTTTTAGCCAAAATGCCACAATAGATCGGTAAATTAGCGGCGTTTATACCACAAATGCCGCAATAGATTATACATATAGTGGCATTTATTCTTAAAACACCGCAATAGTGATAATAAATAGTGGCGTTTTTAGAAAAACGCCGCAATAATTTTAATCAATAGTGGCGTTTTTTTTTGTATAAACGCCGTAAAATGTTAAATATATAGTCCTCCTTTTCTCCTACCTAAACCCTAAAATCATTTAAACTCTTCTTCCCTCAAAGCTTCTTCTCTGGAACAACAATAGCTCTCAAACGATTCCTACCGACGTCGTCGTTTGTATGTCCCGACGGCCAAATCGGGCCTCTCACCGACGAACTATAACACAACTGCACGGTTTGATCCCTCTTATCATTAATGATCTTTTTCATTTTTTTGGTCTTCTGAAAATGGGGAAAACCCAAAAAACTAACGTATTTGAGAAAAAGAGAGCAGATGTTGCCTTGAGTAAGAGAAATTATCGTCGACGGAATGTCCAAGTGGCGTATTTGCTCTGATGATGGATCAAATTATCGTTGGGAGGATATCGGTTTGGTTTCGCCGTCGAAACTGGATGATGACCCGAAAGGAACTCCTATTGCTCCATACCCTTTCATGGCCGATCTCCTTCTTGAAGGTAATAATCTATGAATCTTTCAGCCGCTATAATTTGTTTTTCTACGCTCAGTCAAATTTCATAGATTGCATGCATATAGGATCTTCGAAGATTATTGAGAATGATGATAGAGGAGTGGATAAATACCCGATGTTTAGAACTGAATTTGGTAACTCTGTGACGTTGAAAGAATCTTCAATTGCAAAAGCAGTATCTATTTTCAATGAAGATGAAGTTGCCTCTACTGTTACTCCAAGTAAACATTTATATCATCTATTTTAATTTATTTTAATTTTTATTTAGTTCGCAAGCCACCTACAATCAAGTTTCATACTGTAGGTGAAAGGTCGTTATCTGTTTCAAGTGAAGCACTGAAGCGCACAAGGACTCTTCTTGGTGAACCGGAGGTAGGAGATTTATTTGGTGAAATGGATGAAGAGTTTCTCCATACAGAGTTTACACGGAGGAAAAACTTAACGATATGTCATCAAACAAGGAAAACATCTTTCCTACGTCCTTTCCCCACGAATGAGCACAACTAAATTCTACCGAACAATATGGTGAAGACTGTTTATGCATAACTTTAATGTTTCTAAATTGTAATGTATTTTGTTGCTAAGTATTTTTATGCATAACTTATGTCTTAATTAAAATGTATGGTTGTTGTTAATATGTAAAATCAACTAATGTTTCTCCATATACTGTTTATACATATATCAGTCAATTTAGTTGATGTACAGTAGAAATGAAATATATAAAATAAACTAATATTATCTAAATAAAAGGTAATTAGTGGCGTTTGTATCTAGAAACGCCGCTATAGATCTGACATTTTGTGGTGTTTGTATCCAAAAATGCCGCTAAAGAGTAATATACAAACGTCACTATAGAATCATACTTTAGTGGCGTTTTTATACAAACGCCGCTATATACTAATACTTTAGTGGCGTTTCTATACAAACACCACTATATACTCATACTTTCGTGACGTTTTGAATCCAAACGCCGCTATAAACTCGTACTTTAGTGGCGTTTTGAATGCAAACGCCGCTAAAGACTCGTACTTTAGTAGCGTTTTTATATAAAAACCGCTATAGACTAGTACTTTAGTGGCGTTTTTATACAAACGCCGCTATAGACTCATACTTTAGTGGCGTTTTGAATGCAAACGCCGCTATAGACTCGTACTTTTGTGGCATTTTGAATACAAACGCCGCTAATGACTTGTGCTTTAGTGGAGTTTGTATTTACAAATGCCACAATTTTACAGTTTCTAAGTCCCACGCCCCTTTAACCCTTTTCCATTTTTTTCTCCCACCTATTTTTCATTCCCGTCATTTTCTAATTCAAAACTCTAATTCAATACACGTTTTCTCATTCTCTTCCCCAATTTACTGGTCCTCTCGTGGCTCCAACTCTTCTTCCCGCTTCTCAATCTATGATTTCATCTCAGGAAATGAGGCGGATAGAGTAATACTTTAGCGGCGTTTTTAAATAAACGTCGTAATAGAGTTCATCTATAGTGGCGTTTTTCAACAAACGCCATAATAAAGTAGTCATTTGCAGTGTTTTTTATACAAACGCCGTAATAGGGTTCATCTATAGTGGCATTTTTCAACAAACGCCGCAATAGAGTAGTACTTTAGCGGCATTTTTATACAAATGCCGTAATAGAATTCATCTATAGTGGCATTTTTTCAAAAAACGTCGCAATAGAATAGTACTTTAGTGGCGTTTATAGAAAAACACCGCAATAGATATAATCTTTAATGGCGTGTTTCAACAAACGCCGCAACATAATTGTACCTTAGGCAACTTTAAAAGAACCACTAAATAAGAAAATAAAAGAAGGGTAAATCTAAAATTCTTATTTGTACAACATCAGAAGCAACAGGGAAATTGAGACTTCGACTTTCTTACGCTAGCGCACTCTCTCTCACTCCTTCCACAATCTTCTGGTTCCTTCCTTTCTCCCTTTCTTCCCCCTTTTTGATCTCCCCTCTCCCAAAACTCTCTTCCTTTTGTTTCGTCTTCAAAACATTCAAATCTACGGTGTCGGATCAAGGTATGCCTGATTCCGATTTTCCTTCCCATCTTTACTCTAGATCTTTATCGTTCATTCAATCTGATTATTTTTTTTCCAATTTCGATTGTATTTACTTTTGGAAGTTGTTTGCATTTTTTAAATATTATGGTCGCGTTTTACAATTTTTAATGGTTTATCCGAGGGTTTTAAATCTTGGTTGATTTCTTTGCTCTTTTAATATGTATAATTTGATCAGCTTTACCTATTCCCCCTTTGATAAAGTTTGATTATAAATCAGGTTGAGGGTTATACGAACATCTTTAGGTTTGTGTAAAGCTGAATTAATGATTTTTACAAGCTTTCATTTGACTCGAATGGAATTTATATTTTTTTGACTATCAAAGTCTTAACTGCCAACTCTTCTGGAAAAGCTTTGGAATCCTGATTTAATATATGTTACTGCCTTTGCTTTTGGATAGTTAATGTATGTTACTGCCTTACTGGGTATAGAATATAAGGGTAGGCTTTTACTGAAAACCAAAATGGAGGTAAAAAAGTTTGTCTATCATCAGTTTCTAATTTTGATCCAAGTTACAGTATGATGAAAATAAACAGAAGTGGTTCTTTTTTTTTTTCCTGCAAATCCAACATGGAAGTGTTTAATGCAATTTCCTTGCAAGATTCTATCTTCTCTAAAAGATCTGAGACTGATATCACCCAAAGCATGTTTGTAATTCATTTCCTTGAATCTTTGTTTATCTTAAAAACACAAATTAATCATTGTCTTGAAGAGATAAACAATGATTAGCATGTTATATACCCTTTTTTATATGCAAATTATTGGTTGATCAGAAGTAGTCAGTTATGGAATCCGCACAAAGTAATACTAATCAGTAGTACTAGTAGCACAATGTTGTCGAAAATGCCCCCCACTCAGCCCTTTTCTCATTATTGTAGGCCAATTTTCTGCCAATATGACTCTGGCCAGGTGAAATTATACAGTCAGTCCTTATACTTGATGGAATTTGTCAAATTACAGACACTAAAAGTGCAGTTTTACTTTATGGATAATTGTCACACATATAAGCTTGATACTATTTCAATTAAAAATAGACTAGTGTCAACTACAAGCAAAGATGGATTAAATGATAGATTGATAGTTGTGGTCGCGGTTAGGAATATAACGATTGTAGGTGTTGCAAGCATTACAACGTGACTTATTTTTTTTAAATAATTATATTTATAAATTATGGATGCGGTTGTGATGTCGCGGTAATTTTGAAAATTATTACGATATGTCTGTTGTATTGTATTCCATGATATATTCTTCATGGATGACAAGAAGTTTCAACTTCTGTCACCCTCAACACATCATGGGGAAAAGTTCATCCATGAAGAATATTGTTTGTTTTCTGTTCCTGTTTTCTTAGCTTGATATTGAAAAAACAGAAGCATAGTACATGGTGAGACTAATGCATTTGAGATCACATTAAAAAAATATGATGTGATAGCTAAGAAAAGTTCATGAAAACAAGCTGGAAATTAGCCGTCTAACTTGGCATGTAAGGACAGAACAACTGAGCTTCATTAAAAAGATCTATCACAAAAGCTTGTCATTCTTCCTTCTGGCTTGTACATTATTAGTAAAAGATGGTCATTAATATAACCTTTTTCTTTCCTGTTCAGAAACTGAATCGGAAGCTTGTGCATACATTGGGCTAGTTTTCATGCTTTGCTGGCCATTATTCAGGTTGCCTTCTCATTGAGGTGTCTTTATCTTGTTTTACCAGATGTTTGCTGGCTAGAGACTCGTCTCTTTTCATATTATTATCAACATTAGATTATATTGATTCGTCTAGTTTGGAGTGAGATTTGTGGTTTTTAGAACCCTGATTTTGAGACTTTCTCGTTTTTTTGTTTTCGTATGTTGATTAAGGATTTTGCTTTGCTATATGCCCGTCGAGAGAGGAGACCGATAAGGTGAGTTGCTGCAATTGTCACAGTAAGAAGACTTTGCTTGGGGTTAGTTTATTTTAAAAAAAATCTTATTTCCTTGTTGAGTAACAACTGAATCATTGCATTGCCATTTGATTGTTAATGCCATAATAAACGAAGTATGGTTAGTCCAACAATTTTGAAAAAATCTCACAGTAAAATGAATAGTTTTAATGTTCATAAGCTCCTATCTTCCAACCTTTTAGGCAGTTTCCATTCTCTGCTTGGACTGAACTTTGTCGAGTATGGACAACTAGTTTAAGGGAACTTAAAACCAGTTAGTTAACCATGTCTTTTTACCATATAAAAAAGACCAAATAAACTCCTAACTCATCGGCATAGACAACTAGTTTAAGGGAACTTAAAACCAGTTAGTTAACCATGTCTTTTTAGCATGACATTATGTTTCAAGATCAATGCTTCTAGCATCAAACCACAGTAACCTTCTTGCATCAAAGGTTCAAGGCTCAATTTGACCAAATTTTCCAAGTTCAAAGATGTTTAACTCCTTTAATTTTTGTTCAGCTCTCATGATCTTCTCCTTTTGATATTCACCAATCGTTTATTAGACTCCCAGTTGATCCAATTTTACGCTATAACAATGCTGCAACATCAGTCCATTCAACCTTTTCTTCTGTTCTTTTTCTCAATTCTTTCATCCAATGCTTAGAACAGTCCTCATGCATAATGAGATTGGAATTAAGTACACATGGCATGATGCTTTCGAACTCGTTAAGGCTAAAAAAAAAGCTAACTTAATGACAATTGACGATGCTAAATATACGTAATAGTCCGAGACTTAATCAATTTCTTAGTCTGAATCAAGATTAATAACTCTTTTTCAAGAGTTCTCACACCCTCAAAACAATGCAAACACAACACACATTTTCATTCATTGTTGAATTGAATCAATAGTTGCCTTCCTTCAGTTTTCATACTTTTCCTTCAGTTTAGAATATGTTCAAGCTTCCTATATACATATTCTTCAAAATCAAAATGCAAGAATTTCATCCTAAGAGCACATTTTCGCTTGGAGTCTTTGTATTTTTCTTAGATTTCTTTTTAGCCATTCTTGGGAGTATGTGAGATGATGTGAATCTAGAAAGGTGGGGTTTTATGGTGGAGAAATGATCAGATGTGGAGACAGAATGATGAAGGAATGAGGGAGTTCTTGAAAAGGATTGAAATATAGGCCATAATGAAGTACGAGGCTTTTATGGTGGAATGGTGTGGCTATATATATATATATATATATATATATTTGAATTCAGTAGCTTTTCTTGGCAATTTTCTAGGGTAACCATGAAGGCAGTTCTCCTTTTGGTTCTGCTTCTCCTGGGATTGTTAGTGTCGTATTTTCAAGCAGCAGGTTTAGAAATATTTTTTAGGTTGAACACATATATATTAAGTACCATAAAATTTTGTACATAACAAATACAAATAAAATTTCAGATAAATACAAATAATAAAATAATAAAATATTAAAAAAATTAGATTACCATTTGTATTGGGGTTTCAACTTTCATGTACGTTGGTTAAAAAAAGTTGACGTGGTAATTTAAATGCTTTATAATAAAGTTGGTTTGTAACGAATATCTTATTGTTTCATATTCACCTGAAACTGATTGTCAGTTGTTATTCATGTTGAATGTTTTACATAACCTAGAAGCCCTTGTCCTTCTGTAGTTTTTGTAGAACAAGAATGTCGATATTTTCTGCAATAAAGAAGCCGTTTCCCCCTTTTTTACATAACATGAATGTCGATATTTTCTTGCATATTTTGTTATACACTTTCATCGGTTTGAATTCTCTCTCTAGGTGCTAATTGAGTTGAGACACTCGAATTTAAATCGACTGTGAGGAACACGTTTTTCAGGAAACAAAGGTAATCTTCTCTCTTTAAGAATGAAACATGAGTTTGTTTAGACATAAATGCTTGATATTTATGTTTAGTGAATATTGTTTTCGTGAAAAAAAAATTAAGTCGAGATAGAGTAATTAGTAAAGAAAAGTTAGTGGTGTAATATGTTTCCATACTCGAAATAACATAACAAAAATTTTATTTGGATGAAGAACTTCTTATACTGTTACTTGATCTTAGCCTAAATCCATAGCTCTTATTTGCTTGTTACCATAAAATCCTTGAAGTAACATTTGAGAATTTGGACTTTATTCTTTTTCTTGTTTGAATGTGTCTTCTTTTAGAACTTTGTTTTATTTTCAATTTGTTAATGTTAGTCCTGTACTGATGTTAGATAATCATTTGTGTTTGTGAATTAAGGATTTTTAAAGCTCCAAATCAGTGAATACTACATTTATGGACCCTTTGTTTGCACTTGTCTACTATTTTTTTCTTGAAAGGTTGATTCTCAGAGAGTTTTAGGTTCAATGTAATGCTTCTGTTTAGGTTCTAAATTTATCTATAATATTAGCAATTAACATTTGAATTTGAAACTCCAGAAATACGAAATGGATAAGAGTTGGATGGATTTCTCAAGGGTAAGCGTTGAATATCGAAATGGAGTCGAAAAAATTCTAAATTTAGCTTTTCTGAATGCAAGCCAAGAGAATATGATTCTTTGCCCTTGTAAGAACTGTGTTAACATTAACTGGCACATTCGTGAAGTTGTGTACGAGCATCTAGTTATTTTTGGATTTGTTCGGGGGTATAGAAAATGGATCTTTCATGGAGAGTTTGTATAAGATAGATCTGCTTCCACGAGTTATTCGACTTATCCTGCTCCTTCTCACCATCCAACTTTTAGAGAAGATGACATGGAAGGGATGTTACGAGATGCATTTAATATGCACACTCATCAGCCGTATGTTACAGAAAATTATTTTCAGAATAATGTTAATGATTTCATTGAGATGGGAAGAATTGGAAGTGCTGAAGAGCCAAATGGACAAGCGGCAAAGTTTTAAAAGTTGCTGAATGAAATGAATGAACAACTTTATGAGGGATCAAAGTTTTCAAAGCTTTCTTTCTGCATTTGTCTTTTCCACTTAAAATGCATGGGAGGGTGGACTGGTAACTCCTTTACGCAATTGTTGGAGTTACTAGGGGAAGTGTTTCCTTTTGCAAAAATCCCTCAATCATGCAAAGATATGAAGAAAATGATAAAAGATTTGGGTCTTGGATATGACAAAATTCATAGTTGTCCAAATGATTGTATGTTGTATTGGGGTAATCGAAAAAATTAGGACTCTTGCCATGTATGTGGAAAATCTCGATGGATGATTAGGGAGACAGAAAATGTTACTGAGGATGAAGCTCAAACACGATTAAGAAAGAAACCGATTAAGATTCTGCGATATATTCCTCACATACCTAGGCTACAAAAATTGTTTATGTCCTCCAAGACTGCTGAGTCTATGAGGTGGCATCATGATGGCAGAACCAATTATGGATTATTACGACATCCAGCGGATTCTTTAGCTTGGAAGTTATTTGACAACAAGTATCCAAGTTTTGCGAGAGATCCTCGAAATGTCAGGCTCGGTCTTGCAACTGATGGGTTTAATCCATTCAAAATCATGAGTACTTCGTATAGTACTTGGCCTGTTGTACTTGTTCCATACAATTTGCCTCCATGGATTTGCATGAAACAATCATATTTCATCTTATCCATGATAATCTCTGGCGATAAAGGCCCCAGAAATGATATTGATATTTACATGCAGCCGCTAATTGTAGAGTTGAAACAGTTATGGGAAGGGGTCGAAACGTACGATGTGTTGACGAATGAGAACTTTAATTTACGCGCGACTTTATTATGGACAATTAATGATTTTCCTATGTATACAAATTTATCGGGTTGGAGTACCAAAGGTCGTTACGCTTATCCTTGTTGTGATGTAGAAACATGTTCGAAGTGGTTGGTTATGGAAAGAAGTTCTCTTATATGGGACATCGTCAGTGGTTACCTGATAATCATAGATTTATAAGTCAAAAGAATATGTTTGATGGTGATGAAGAGTTTCGAAATGCTCCTGACCAAACAATCGGCTCTCAAATATTCAGAATGTTGAAAAATATCAATTTTACTTATGGAAAGATGAATAAACCAAGTAGTGCACGATAAAAGAAAAAGGCAAAGCAAGTCAATGAAGAGGTTGAAGTTGACGAACAAACTGATAAGATCTGATGAAGAGGATGATCCAAACGAGGTAGACTTGTGGAAAAAGAGGAGTATATTTTTTGAGTTACCTTATTGGAAAAAGCAGATTTTGAGACATAATCTTGATGTAATTCATATTGAGAATAATGTTTGTGAGAATATTATCAGGACCATTCTGAATGATGGCAGAAAATCTAAAGATAATCTTAAGAGTCGACTTGACTTAGTGGACATGGGAATTCGGCATGATCTTCATCCGTAATTACGTCCAAATGGAAGAAATTTCTTGTCGCCTTCTATTTTTTCTCTTTCGAAGAAAGAAAAAGTGTTTTGCACGGTGAAGGATATAAAGTCCATATGAGTATGCATCAAACATTTCTCGATGTGTTAGTGTTAAAGATCGAAGACTTTATGGTTTAAAGTCACATGATTATCACATATTAATGTAAGATTTACTGCCAGTAGTTGTTCGCGGTTGCATGTCGAGTAAGGTGACGCCTTGTATCATTGAACTTTCTAATATAATGAAAGCCATTGTGGGAAAGTTCTAATGGTTAAGAACTTGATAAACTACAAGATTGAGTCGCCTTGACTTTATGAAACTTGGAGAAGATATTTCCACCTTCATTCTTCACAATTATGGTGCATCTGCTAATTCATCTTCCTCACGAAGCAAGAGTTGGTGGTCTAGTTTTCTATCGATGGATGTACCCTATAGAGAGGTGTTATTTGAATTACACGTTTCAAATTACTACTGATTACCTCTCACTCAAATGTATTTACGTAGTATATTGTTTTGTGTATAGGTTTTGGGCAAGTTGAAGTCTTATTATCGTAATAAGCGTTATCCGGAAGGATCAATTGCTGAAGAGTATTTGGCAGAGGAATGTATGACATTTTGCTCTAGATATTTGGAAGATGTTGAAACAAGATGGAATAGACCAAATCGAATGATGTGTTAAGTATTGATGACTTACCTCAACATTATTTCTTTGGAAGTTATGGTCAACCATTAGGGAAAGTTGAAATTACTCTTAGATGACACGTCTTGGGTACAAGCACACAGATATGTTCTTTTCCATCACGATTCAATAGATCCCTTTCGCACGTAAGTCTTTCGGACCCAATCCTAATGAAATCTCTTTATCTTTTATATTTATCAATTTTTAATGACAATATTCTTTATAGCGAGTTTAAAGAAGTATGAGATCTCGAGCATGCTCCCGAAGATTAAATCAGCGAGAGCTACATAGTTATTCACAGAAACTTTTCATGAATGGTTAGGCCAAACGGTAAGCAACTAAATCTTACGGAACACTTATAAATTATATACGTCTTCCTTTTTATATCGACGCCAATGCAAATTAATTCACCATTCATGTGTAATAGGTTTGGATTGGGAAAGAAGTTAGTGAAGAAGTTAAATGGCTTTCTCAAGGTCCAAATAGAATAGTTAAAAGATATAATGCCTTCCTCATTAATGGGTTCAGGTTCCACACGAAATCTCATGAAAGATTAAGAAGGACACAAAATTGTGGAGTCGTAGTTACTTCGTCAACTACAAGTTATGCTACTGTAAGGGACAATAATCCACAAGAGGAAGAGTTATTATGGAATCTTACGGACATTATTGATTAGATTATTATGGAAAACGAAAGGTTGTGTTGTTTCGTGTGACTGGGTTGATGTAAACAGATGTATAAAGAGATAAATTCGGGTTTACAATGGTGAATTCTCGATTAATTCACACGGGTCAACATTTGATGGATGAACCATATGTATTTCTTCTCAAGTGAAAAAGTATTTTATTGTCACGATCCAATGGATGACGGTTGGTATGTTGTGCTTCGAATACTCCCAGAGACTTGATAGACATCGGGATGGAAGAGAGATGACATTGAAACAAGATCAGAAAGTTTACCTCTACTACCACAAAACTTAGATGAAACTATCAGTAATACAACACAATTTCAATGGTTCGGGAGGACGTTGATGAAGATATTTTGACAACTGACATTATATAACTTTGTACGATTTTATATTCATTTATTTATTTATAATGTTATAACCTTTAACATGTTGTCTTTCAATATATTCATTAATTAATTCATTATTTTATTACTTATGTTTGTTTATTATAGATATCATGCCGAGGAGAAAAATAAATTATTTGCGGGTTGTTCAAGCTTCTGAAGACCATGAAGAAAGAAATAACGATGAATCGAATGCACCTGAGTCTTCCGAAGTTCCGGAAACTGTTGAAGAAGACGTGGAAATTTAAAATAATATTAGAAACATTATTGACTACTTTGTTCATTTTCAAAACTGGAATTTAATAATTTCTTATATAGTTAAAATGCTGGAACGCGCAAGACTCGAGGACGTACAACTTTGAAGGAATTATACCAACTTCCTCCTGGGCATCGTGTCAAAGTTTCGAGAAACGATGCCGGTCAACCTATTGGCCCAGAATCATGTCTTCTAGCAGGTTACTTAGGCATAGTTGGACGTAATGCGAATCTGTTACCGATCAATTACGAGTCATGGCGTGAAATGCCTAATAGTAACAAAAATCAAGCGTTGGATTTTTTTAAGGTAATAATGTCATGATAATACATACTCTATAGAAATTCAATACTAATTTATACTTACGGTGCACATTTATTTGTTGTATAGAAGAAATTTTCTTTAGAGGTCTCTGACGATTATGTGAAGCAAACGTTAGGGAAGAGATGGAGGGATCACAAGAGCTCCTTAAAGAAGAAATACTTCAAGAATGATCTCAGCCTTGAAGAGAAGTTGCAAACAGTCCCACCAGGAATGCTCAGGTACCAATGGGAAGATGCAGTCAGATTTTGGAGTTCACAAAAAGGACAAGTATGATGTATTTTTCAGAAATAATTGTAACGAATTGTAAATCATCATTAAAAGTGGTTGTTTGACATTGTAGGACCGAGAGCATATTGGTGTTGCTAGCAGGCAACGACAAAAGTTTACGCACACGACTGGATCGAAGAGTTTTGCTTGTATAGCTCATGAGGAGGTATTATAGATTATTGAAATAGTTTTTTGTATTCCATGTACATACTAACTCATAGTAATTATATTATGGTATATTGTAGGAAAATATATTCGGTTCTAAAGTTGGTCGAATCCAACTCTTCGACATGACACATACAAAAATGATGGCACTCATATGACTGCTGACGCTGCAGAAATTATGGTACGTTTTTTGGGTAGATGTTTTAAATTTACCTGACTTTATTTATATTTGTACCATGAAATTTTTTATTTTAATTAATTATTCACTTTATTAGGAAAACTTGAGGGAGAAAAAGGCGGAGTATCATGTTACTGCTTCAAGTCAAGGTATTGTTAATGATGACATTGAAAACCAAGCTATTAATGACGTTTTGGGTCCTGAAAGATATGGTTGGGTGCGCTGTCAAGGATCATTCGTTACTCCCACCAAATATTTTGGATCCAGTTCATCAGTACATGTCATCACAGTCTCGATCTTCTCACCAAGAAGTTTATCGTTTAAAAGAAAAGTTGGCTGAGATGGATCAACAAATGGCTAACTTGAAAGCGGAAAATGAAGCAAGGGAAGCAACCAGAGCAGCAGCGGAAGCAGATAAAAAAGTAGCGGCAGCACAGAGAAAAACAACATATCAGCAAAGATGTGAAGAATTTGAAAAATGACTCAATGATATGATGCTGATGATTCAGAAAACGCAACCTCAGAATCCACCATCGTAGTCTCATTTATGTTATGAGCATTCTACTGAACCTTGTTTAACTGAACTTATATTACGTTAATGAAAACTTTTATTTATTATATTGGATTTGATGTTGTTTGTTATGGATATAGAGTTTGATGTTATTATTGTTTTGTTTGTTGGATAATGGAACAGGTTGAAAAAATAGTTTTGGGGTAATCAAGCATAATTTCTAATACTGTTAAATTCTGTGTTATTTAGCGGCGTTTATAACAAAAAATGCCGCAATATACCATACATTTAGCGGCGTTTTTATCCTAGAAACGCCGTTATATACAGACCTTTACCGGCGTTTTTAGCAACAACGCCGCAAAACATCAATGCCTACGGCGTTTATGAGAAAAACGCAACAAAACATCAAAACCTACTACGACGTTTGTGAGAAAAATGCCGCAAAACATCAACACCTACTGCGGCGTTTTAATAAAACGCCGCTAAACATTATAACCTATTGTGCGTTTGTCTAAAAACCGCTGCTAAATATCAACACCTATTACGGCGTTTTTATGACAAACGCCGCTAAATATCAACACCTATTGTGGCGTTTATAAGAAAAATACCGCTAATATCAATTGCGCATTCGCTAAATATCTATTGCGCGTTTGAAAAAACCTCGCTAAATAAACCTATTGCGTCGTTTGTCTAAAAAACCCCGCTAAATATCAACACTTATTGCGTCGTTTGTCTAAAAAACACCGCTAAATATCAACACCTATTGCGGCGTTTTTAAAAACGCCGTGAACTTTAGCGACGCTATTTTCAACAACGATTTTAGCGGCGTTTGTCTTAACGCCGCATGTGTTTTTAGCGACGCTTATAAACGCTGCTAAAGGTTAAAAAAATGCCGCAAAAATCCGTTTTGCTGTAGTGATCGCCACTACTGTTGGAGTCCTCACACCATTCCGACTAAAACCCAATCGGTCGTGCCTCCTTGTCGTTATCCCTCCTCCGTCCGTCGTTGGTTAAGAAGAAGAAGAAAAGGGGTTAACGGGGTTAAGTGTCACGTTAGCTAAAACTAACGGAAGGTAGCGACATGAACCTTACTAAAAACGAACTAAAAGTTCGATGATTGTATTGTAAGTTTCAAAAGTTTAGTGATCAAAATGTAAATGCCAAAAGTTTGGGGACTATTTATATACTTTACCCTTAATTATATCTCAATCTATTTTTTTTTTCACCTGGTACCGTGCCAGTAATTAAAAAAAAGAATGTTAATGCATCTAGGAAGAAACAATGATCTTTATCAATATACCCGCTAAGAATCAAACTAGAAAGTACGTAGTACTAATGTTACGAAAAGATATGTTTTTAAATATCACATTTTAAATTCTTCTTTATCTTATTATATTAAGATAATACATATATAACCACATGTATGTGTAGTTAAAAGTCACTTGTATTTGACATCTCGTTTCCAATAAAAAAAATCACTTGTATTTGTATATTATTAAATTTCCCCGTTTATAATTAAATTATTGTTTATTTTGAACGTTCAAGAGCTGGTAAATAGTAGGGCATACGAAATTAACTTTTTGGAATTCGAGGATGGAGTAGAAGTTTTGATAGAAACTAGCTTTATTTTGCTCAATAATAGTAGTACGACCTTATGACGCACCATGGCAACTATACCTATGCACGTTTACAAGTTACACTATTTTTAGCTTGCACCATTTTTCAACTAATCCTCCTCCGCCTCCATATCCTCCACCTCCATATCCTCCATATCTTCCACCTACACCACCTCCATATCCTCCACCTATACCACCTCCGATACCTCCACCTTTTCCTCCTGCAAAACCCCCACCTGCACCACCTTTGTGTCCTTCACCTACATAGTCTCCAAAGCCACCACCTACACCACCTCCATGTCCTCCACCTACACTACCACCAACTCCAACTCCTCCTCCTCCTCCGACGCCTCCTCCTTTTCCACCTTCACCTCTAACACCACCTCTAGAACCACCACCAGCACGGCCTCCAGCTCCACCTCCAACTCCTACACCACCACCTTTCCCACCTCCACCAATCCCTCTTCCAACACCTCCACCAGAACCACCTCCTAGGGTCTCCTTCTTAAGTTTTCGGCATTCTGCTATCGTTATAGCAAACATAAATATCATCACAAACACTCCAAGTCTTTAGGAAATTAATTTCCCCATCCTCGTCTTTCGTAAACGAAAACCCAATACCTCAAAACTACTTTTGCCAATGTTGAACATGAACTTAATTCAGCAAAGAACCTTTTATATATGCCCACATACGCATGATTTTATGTTACGAGGTAAACTTATAAAATTTTAAAAGTAAAAAGCAGATTATTAATAACAAAAAATCTAAAATATTAAAGAATTTAAAAATTTTATGGGACAACACCACCCGTCACTCGATCCATCACTGCTTATATACAATATCTATTGGACGTATCATTGATAGGCCATATATGCATGCAGTTGATTAGTTGAAGACTTATGTTTTACATTCACATTTACGTGACTTTTCAATTCGTTTAATCAAATTGCCCCAACTTTCAACTCGTTTTGAAAAAAACCTAATCTGGCCGGTGATTTGTAATTAATATGCCAACTACTAGACTAATGCTTGCCAGTGTTGTCAGATTATCAAATTGCCTCAACTTTCAACTCGTTTTGAAAAATATATCGTTTGAAATATTCTATACAAGCCAATCAAAGAAATGAGCAGAAAATAACATGTCTGTATTTCAGTAATTGGGATTGATTTCTGTTATACCTTTGAAGGATAACTCTGAAAATTGTCTAATCTTCGTTAGTCAAGACTTTCAGATAAACTCATGTGCTTACCAGAGTACTTCAAGAGATTTATATCATCCGGAATTAGGAGGATCATAGCTTCGAGTTAGCTATAGTGTACAAATAAGAACTTTGGCAGGATCACATGATCTAACAGAACGAAATCAAATCTAAAATCTGACAACTAGATTTATTTAATTAGTTAACCTAAAGTTAAAAATAACCATAATGACCATGTCTGACAATTGACATCATAAGTTAGAATCATTACAAATATTTCTCAATCACGACAAAAAAGGATCTTCTTGATAATTTCTCCATTTTTCTCTTTCCTTCATTCCTGTGTTCTCTATTATATTAATTAAGAACAGGCAAACCAACAACCATCTCCTCATCAATTGTAACTTATCTCTCAAATCAAAAAAATAACAAGCATTAGTAGACAAAATAAATTTATTCTCATCAATAGCTTATATCATTCTTTGGTAGCAAGAGAGAAATCCTAAGCTAGCTTAGTAGCCAAGTGTCCGACTATTTATTTTTGAAATCATTTTTTCTTTTTTTTTTGATAAAATCAAATATATTGATGAAATTATAATAAATTCTAAGTCTAATTTAATGGTTAAGTGTATTAAAAGGTCCTAAGTTTAATTCTTTCCCTCTTGGTAGCAATCAATTTATTTTCGTAATTTAATTTTATTAAAAAAATAAAATAGTACTGACACATATTATCACGAATTATTTGAATGATATAAATAAAATTATTTATACATTATTGAATCCCGTAATTTATGTTTAAATTATTGTTTATTTTGGTCGTTCAAGAGCTGGTAAATCTCCTTAATACGAAGGCCTTCGAAATTAACTTTTGGAATATGAGGATGGATTACAAGTTTTGATAGAAACTAGAGAACTTTTTTATTTTGCTCAATAATATTAGTACGGCATTATGACATGCCATAGCAACGATACCATGCATTACTATGCACGTGTACACGTTACGCTATTTTTAGCATGCAACATTTTGCAACTAAAATCCCCCTCCAATTCCTCCACCACCTATTCCACCTCCCTTGCCACCTCCAAAGCCTCCCTCGCTTCCATGTCCTCCACCTGCACCACCACCAAAACCTCCACCTTTTCCTCCTCCAAAATCACCTCCTACTCCACCTCCATGTCCACCACCTGCACCACCTCCATGTCCTCCACCTACGCCGCCTCTAAATCCACCACCACCACCTACACCACCACCAATACCTCCTTCGTGTCCTCCACCTACACCGCCTCCAAAGCCACCACCACTACCTACACCACCTCCATGTCCTCCACCTACACCACCACCAAAACCTCCACCTTTTCCTCCTCCAATACCACCACCAACACCACCTCCATGTCCTCCTCCTACACCACCACCAATACCTCCACCTTTTCCTCCTCCAATACCACCTCCATGTCCTCCACCTACACCAACACCAACTCCTCCTCCTCCTCCAATGCCTCCACCTTTTCCACCTCCACCTCCACCACCTCCAAAACCACCACCAACACCGCCAGCTCCACCTCCTACACCACCACCTTTTCCACCTCCACCTAAACCACCACTATGGCCACCACCAATTCCTCCTCCAGCACCTCCACCAAAACCACCTCCATGGGTCTCCTTCTCAAGCTTTCGGCATTCTACTATCGCTATGGCAAACACAAATATCATCACAAACACTCCAAGTCTTTTGGAAATTAATTTCCCCATCCTCATCTTTCTTAAACGAAAACCAAATACCCCAAAGCTCTTTTTGCCAGTGTTGAGCATGAACTTAATTCAGCAAAGAACCTCTTATATACAATATCCATTGTACGTAATGTTGATACGCCATAAATGCATGCAGTTGATTAGTTGGAGAATTTTGTTTTATATTCACATTTACAGAACTTTTTAATTCGTTTAATGAAAATGCTCCAACTTTCAACTCGTTTTTTAAAAAACCTGATATGGCCGGTGATTTATAATTAATGTACTCAACCACTAGACTTATGCTCGCCAGGGCTGCACCACGACGATCACCACCACCGTCACAAAACCTCGACGACTCTGTCCTAAAGCTGTAATTTTGTGGGTTAAGCTTGAGTAGTGAGAAACTCGAGTTAGAGTTAAAACTTAAATTGAACTCGATTAAATACTATTAACTAAAAGGGAGAATTATTTTTTAGACGTCTTAGATTCTAGTAATTATATTTACAGAGTGTATATATTGTCAATACTAAGAAATATTATAAACATATATTATACCTTATGATCATCTCATACTATTCTAAAAAATGTATTATGAATTAATATATGATATATTAATAATATATAATTATATAATTCATTAATAAATTAGATAATTTATACATCATCACTAATTTTTAAAATTAAAATTAAAATTAATTTAATTTATTTTTATTTATGTGATATTATTTAATTCATTAAGAGTACATAACTCTAAGGGATATCTAAGGTACGACACCCTTAATATACAATTAAAGAAAGTCGTTACCGGAAATGTTAATATTTTTTTTTACCATTTTCAGTAAAACGCTACCTAAAACATTATTTTTTCTAATGAAAGTGTTAATATTGGCGCTACCTAAAATGTTTGACATTTCCGGTAAAACACTACCTAAAACATTATTTTTTTTACCAAAATGTTAATATTGAGTGCTACCTAAAATGTCTAACATTTCCGGTAAAGCACTACCTAAAACATTATTTTTTTCTACAGGAAATTAGGTAACGAAATTAACATTTCCGGTAAAAAATAATATTTTAGGTAGCGCTTTACCGAAAATGTTAAAAATATTAACATTTCCGGTAGAACCTTTCCTTAGCCGTATATTAAGATTGTCGTACAACAGAACTACCCATAACTATGTGTTCCATTATGTATCAAGTATTTATTGCATATAATTTTGAAGATGAAATAGTAATTTAATATTAAATAATAAAAGAATTATTACTTGATACATATGCTTATGTAAACTATTTTATATAACTAGTTTATTTTAACCTTTAATTTTAAAATTTAAAATTTTAATCCTAAAACCTTAAATTTTAAATCTTAAATTCTAAATATTAAAATCCAAAATCTTAAACCTTAAATAAAACACATAACATTCAAATAAACATATTCATATAAACTAAAATTTATATCATTTATATTAAATAAATTTCTACAAAAATATGAATAATTAATTAATTGAATACTAAAAAAAATCCCGTATTTGATTAAAAAATAATCTATATCTAAGTACAATCATAACTTCCGAGTAGAAATACCTCATTTAATTTATATTCAACTTGATTTTTTTATTACAACTAAAATATTATTTATTTCAATGTAAAAAATTATGTTTTTGATAAGATTTTTTATTACAATCAATAAATTTTTTAATTATAACTGATTTATTGTCGTAACCGTTTTTCTGCGGGGACAATCGTTTAATTGTTTTAAAAATAGTTATGATTTTTAATTTTGGAAAATAGTGTTTTTGAATTAAATTAGAATTGAAAAGAGTCGCCATCAACCTTTGGGTTAGGCAGGTCGAATACCTAAAAACGTCTTTTTAAAAAAACAATTTTATGAAAAATCATTTTTTTAAGACAGAAATTGGTCTGCGTTTTCCAAATATTCGATTAAAACGGGTTCGGGAGTCGGTTACGCGTGGGGAAGAATTAGCACCCACAGCGCCCAAAATTGGTACTGTGTCGCTTACACGTTGTCGTAAATGGTAGAAATAATCAATCAAATATAAAGTTAAATTATGATCCATTTATTGAATATTAATTAATTGCTTTAAATTAATAACTTAAATGAGGAAATTCAAACGACTGGAGTAAAACAAATAAATATTACAAATCTAAATACAAAATAGCAAAAAAAAAATTTAAACTTATAAAGACCAAAATAAAAAACTTTAGGAATCAAAATAACAAAATTAGAAAATTAAAAGACTAAAATGACACAACCAAAAATTTAAAGACTAGAATAATAAAAATATAAATTTTGAAGACCATTTTTGAGTATATATATATATATATTAAGGAAAATGTATATTTCAAACGAACTAAAATATAAATAAGTTCAACCAAAATATCATAAATTAATTAAAATTTATTATTAATATGTATTAAGTAATATATATACACACACAAAATATCATAATTAATTCTTACTAGATAAAAAATAAAGTAAATTAAAACTCAACATAATAGTAAAATATTAAACATATAATTAACAAAGAATCTAAACAATAGCAAAACCAAACAAGCAATACATCCAAATGGAATGAATGCTTTCAAAATAATGGTGGACCTCGTATAGTGGTGGAATTAAATAATGGATTCTTGATATCAAGTATTTGAAAATGGGTGCCACTAAAACTAAAAAAAAATAGCCTAGGTGCTCATCTCAAGGTTTTAAAAATTAAATATACACAACATGGGTGAAATTTAAATATTGATGAAAAATATACCGATTATTTTAAGGAAAAAAAATATGTATAATATAATATGGTCGAATTGAAACAAATAATATTTTAATGAAAACTTTATAAATAAACTTGAAACAAATAATATTATAACAATAACATGACTAAAATAGGATATTTAAAAATTTAGTGGTTAAATTGAACATAACCAAAAATATTATAACAATATAAATCAATGACTAAGATACAATAATTACGAACATTATAACTAAAGTCAAATAATAATATAACATATAATAGTGTGACTAAAATATAAATATTAAAAATAAAATACTTAAAACAAAATAAACATAACTTTATTTTATGACTTGAAAATAAGGATACAAATGCAGAAGGACTAAAAAGAAACATGCAGAAAATTAAAAATCAAATGTATAAACAAACAGAAACTAATTACATTACCAATTAGGACTGAAATTAAATTTGGATAAAGCATGGAGAAGAAATTAGAAATACAAAAATATTGATCTAAGGACTATAATATATAAAACTGAAATGTTAAAACTCAAAATAAGATAAATAAGACTTCATTTAATGACTATAAGGTATGGATACAAATCAACAGGGACTAAACGTGTAGTTATTCCATAAGCTAGGTGTATGGAACCTTACTATCCAAAACGGCACAGCATCCTTGTGTATTTTCCCATTTGCTAAATCCCTAGGCCACATTCCTTTTCCTCTTTACTTCTCCTCTTGTCGTTTTACACTCTAACTCATCACTTTTCTTTTCTTTCTCTTTCTAGCAGACAAGGCACAAGATGGAATTCACCATGGCCTTTGTCATCGGCTCCGTTGAGGAGTTAAACGACACTCCCTACTCTTTCGGGTTTTTTTTTCTTTTCGATTTAAGGTAAGTTTTTCGAATGGATTTTTTTTCAGTATTTTCTTACAGTTTTTTCTTTTTTTCCTTGTACTATCCCCTCTCTAATTATTTTTCATATTGTTTTCTCTTATTTGTGGGCAACTAGGTTAATTCGAAAATAATAAAAATGTATATTTATGTTGGTTTTTTTAATATATATATATTTCCATACCCTAAGAGAATCGAAAAAAAAATTTACTCAACCTAATCGAACATGCAATGATTTAAAGTGAACAAATCAGAAGAAAAAATGCATTAAAAATGATTAAAATAATAGGAAAAACAGTAAATAATTAATACCTTTTAGTCTGTTATTGCTTGAATATAGAGTTTACAGTGTGTCGTTTGCCAGAATTTTCTCCAATCCCTGTTTCAATATTTTTTTGTTATTCATATGCTCTCTGATCAGTGCTTTTTCCCCCTTTTTCTTATCAATTCCTCTTCTATTTTATTGTTGAAATCTTCATCGAATCTCTTTGGATGCATCTGCATTTTCTTTGCGTTTGGTATGATATTGATGGGTTATGTTAAATCATTAATTTTGCTTGACTTTGGTGCATGTGACTTTATGAATTTTGGTATTTGGTGACCAACATGGTGATGATGATGTTTCAACTTGCTCGAAGGTGACTCACCTTGGTGACTCGTCGGTGGAGAGACTTGGTACTGTTGTTGATAAGGGTCTGTTGGGTTGCTTATAATTGGGTCATATTTTGCCTGCACAAAAATATAAATAAACTTAATAATAATAATAATAATAATAATTTAATAATATTCTTTAACCCTATAAAAATGGTATCTACATTTATATTGTTTTTTAATCTTATATTAAGAGATTGTAATTTAGAATTTACCGCTTAAACTCTACTCGATCCTCTAAGTTGCTTCAAATAATCATTGAAAACATCAAATTCAAGTTTTCCATTGATGTTTACGGGCCAGTCGGCACTCAGCATTCAGTTTCAACGCGTTAGTTAATAATATGAATGATAGGTGCGCACGTGTCATGATATTAAATATTTAACACACTACTTTTTCTCGTGCATCCTTTATTTTTGGCCAAGAAATCAAGTAGTTCTCCCATGTGATGCGTTTAATTTGTCATTGAATAACTTTTGTTGTAGTTATTTGTAATAATTTGTCATTGAATAAAAATATTATTTTTTAAAAATACTCCATAAATACTTTTCTTTTAAAAAATCTAAATTTTTCTATTCTTCCTCTTTGATTGATAGACAACCATACTAATTTTGATATTAATCATTCAATATTTTTTTATTTTCTTATATTACTTTATTTTTATTTTAATTTTTTAGTTTTTAATAATTATGTTTAATGACACATTTTTCTCTCTTTATGACATGTTCTCTACTAGCACATTTTCAGTCCATGACAGTTGTTTTCATTTATCTTTTTTTCTCAGGGTTAAATTTAGTGCCTCCACGACTAATAAGATGAGATGTATTTATTATCATGTTGATATTCTTTACGTTGGACTCTCATTTTGAATTTGGATACTATTTGCATTTGTTAATAGTTTTCTCACGTCATTCGACTCTAATTTGTAAGTTATCGGTATCTTTCAATAACTTGATCTCCTTTTTTGTTCGTTTGCCGATGTAATTAGATCTATTTGTATCTATCTCTTTCTCGGGGGTTTTAGTAGGGTTTTTAACCTTTTCCTTGTAGGATCCTTGTGAGATCTTATGTGGCTAATTTTTAATGTAAGTGGTTATATGAAAATATCATAATTATGTGTTTAATTTATAATTATGATTATAAACTTTTATTGTATTTTTAAATATTTCTTTTTCTTTAATAAAACTATATGCTTCTATAAAAAAAACTTCAGTTGTAGTCTCTCTCTTATTATAAAGAACGAAAATTTGGCGATCTTTTTCATATCATTCAAAATTAAAGTGTTAATATAATATTTAATTATTAAATTTATCTTTAATGTTTAAATTAGTATTTTCTTTTTAAGTAAACCATATAATGCGGACGTTCCACAATGGTCCGAGCAGACGCAGATGGAAAAACATGGCATCTTGTTTGGAGATTATGTGTTATCAGGTTACATTTACATACATGGATGTTAAACAAAATGATATCGAGGATAAAAGAAATACGAAAAAAATGGGATATTGATACATGTAGTAGCGGATGCACCTATATTTTAGGGTGGATAATTGTTTAATTTGAAATTCGAATTTATTTATGTTTCTTGTTCATTTTATTAATTGTGCTACTTGGTATATACCTCATACAAAAAATTTATATATTAACACATATATATCCACTCTAAAAATATTTATTAATCGCATTAGATATAAAACAATGACTTTATCATACTTATGGTGACATATCTTATTTACTGCGTATGGAAGTAGTTGAGATGGTGACATATCTTATTTACTGCATATGGAAGTAGTTGAGATGTTGATTTGAGCTCTTATTTAGTTTTGAATCCGACCTATAGTCGTTTCACTTTTAATCGAGAGGATATGACTCCAACTATAGGAGAGTACATGGCCTTGCATCATTCGGAGAATGACCATGTAATAATCCGAAAGTCTGTTATCTAATTCCAACCAATCTCTTGATCAACGTTGGTATTATTTTGATAATAATCTTTTGAAGGGTTATGGGCAGAGATTTAAATAGCATTTTGTTATCGGAATAACGATCGTTATATAACGATAATTGTTACTATACGATTACAATATCCATAATAACAATAACTACATTATGCAATCGTGATTAACGCATAACCGAAAATACAATCACAACTATAATTTAATTCTCTGATTACCAGAACCTCAACCCTACTCAAGAAGCATAACCAACTCCTTTTACCTAAACCCCAAATTCATACATTAGAGAGATCCCAAAATCCATCTAAGCGTGTACCTAACTCTGTTACATCAATGCTCAACCCATTTTAGTAACCCCGCTCAAGACCATCAGTTTTATCCTGACCAAATAACAAGGGCCAAGTCTGGCAGAAACAATGAGTAGGTAAACGAGAGACTTCCTCTGATGACTAACACTTTCTTCGTTAGGGTCGTAAACAAGTCAAGTTTGAATATTATTGAGTTCAACTCGATTCAAAAAATACAAAATTGAGCTCGGCTATGCTTAAAAATTTACGAGCTTAAAATTTCAAGTTAAACTCGAACTCGAACTAAAAAAAATTAAAACTTGACTCGAAAACTCGTAAGTTTAAAATTTTCAAGCTTAATTTGAAATTGAAAATTGAAACTCGACTCTAACTCAAAAAAAATTAACATTTCTTATAAACTCAAATTTATAAATACTTAGTTTAAAGAATGATTTGTTGAGTTTATGCATGTCTTTTGTGAGGTTTGTTGACCTTATTTATAGAGGTTTAGTTATTAGTGATTTTAGTTCCACTATATTTAGATATTGAATAATAGCGACTTCTATTTTTAATACATAATATTTTTTTCTTTATTTATTTAAAACTTTGATATATAAATAATATAATAGGATAAATCATAATATCTTTAGGGTAAACTATGTGATTAGTCCCTTTTTTTAGGGTCTATCCGACTTTGGTCACCAATTAAAAATTAAGAGTAAATGATCCCTAACACTATCGGTCTGTCTAATTTAAGTCACCCTGTCGTTAACCTTTAACGAATATGTGACATAACTGAGGGACTAAAACCAAACGGAAGTTGACGACTGGGGACTAAAATCGAATGGATCGGTAATGTTAGGGACTAAAATCGAATAAATCGATAACGTTAGAGACTATATATCTTTAATTTTTAAATTGGTGACCAAAATCGGTAATACAAAAAATAAAAGGGACTATTCACATAGTTTACCCATTCCTTTAAGTTAATAGTTTCTTTTTCTCTATTTTATTTTATATACATCTTACTAAGTTTGACCTACTTTTATTATTAAAAATCTCTGAAATAAATAGTTAAAATTTTCGGCTGACATATTTTTAAAAAAATACTTATTAGAAATAAAGAAAATCATGACTTTGTTAATCCTTACAAACCTAAAGTTGAAGTCTTCAAAAAAAAAATTGTTTTAAATAAAAAAAACTCGAAACCAATAAGCACAAAAATCTATTTCCTACCCTCCAATAAAATACTGCCACGTCGGGCAACACGCATCAGATGACGTGTCGAGTCCACAGCTCAGCTCCGAACTTTTCCTTTTTCTCTCGATCTCGCATTTGAATAAATACTTAGTTTATATAGGGGGAGGTTAGTAAGTTGACGGGAACGGTGGTGGACCAGGTGGTAGCAGCTGCTGTTGTGCCTGTGGTGGTTTGATATTCGATCGGATCGTGATCCAATGGCTGAAGACAGGTACAACCTCAAGAATCCGGCGGTGAAGAGGATATTACAAGAGGTTAAGGAGATGCAATCCAATCCTTCTGATGATTTCATGAGCCTCCCTCTCGAGGTTTGTTTTTTTCCCCTTCAAATTTCAAAACTTTAGGGCTTTTTTGTGTTCCGATTTGATGATTCACGTCATGGATGGAACGTGAAGTTATTTGAGGTTTTTTTTTATTCGTTGTAAGAGGCAAATTGTTCGTTGATTTACGAGATTATTGAGGATTTTCATTATAATTTGGGTTTCCCCCCTTCTTTTGGATCGGTTTTCAGGAGAACATATTTGAATGTCAATTTGCAATTAGGGGTCCCAGGGATTCTGAATTTGAAGGAGGGATTTATCATGGAAGGATCCAATTGCCTGCTGAGTACCCTTTTAAGCCCCCTTCGTTTATGTTGCTGACTGTAAGCACTCACTTTATAAATACATACAAACATATACACATATACGCATCATTTTTGTGTTGGTAATTATCTAATTTGATGTGGTAACAAGTTTCTTTGCATGTCTAATTTTCAGCCAAATGGGCGTTTCGAAACCCAAACTAAAATTTGCTTAAGTATATCGAATCACCACCCGGAGCATTGGCAGCCTTCTTGGAGTGGTTAGTATTCATTTATCTTGAATGCAAACGCATAATTATGCTATAAATTGTACATGAGAATCATATCAGGATATTGAGTATAATGAAAAGTATTTGTATGTTGTAATTTTGATTCCATTGCTATCTGATGATGTTCTTCAAAAGCATTCGCAAAAATCTTACTAGCAACTATTGAATTGATGTAGTTCTCATTTGGTTTATAGGATCCGGATTAACTGGTTATTTATGAACCTTTGCTACACAAAAGCATTTAACAACCTCCATGACCTAAGCCTCTTCAGCTCTAGAAAACCAACTCGAGTTGTCCCGTTCATTGACTGACCATCAATATCAAATCTTACCAAAAATAGAACAGTGCAAGTGAATCCAACTCCATAGGCAATGCCACGAGAGCTGTACATTATCTTTTCTTCTTGATATGAATCTCATCTGTATTTACTTGCAAGTAAAAATTGCAAAACAAAAATAAATACATTTCAGATTTCTAATTCTCCTAATCAATCTGTGGTCTACCTTACTAGCTCCTCCCTATGTTGTTGAATGAAGTGATCAGCTGACCTAGCTGAGAAGCAACCATTTCTCTGACCATTTGAAAATTTTAAACCGGTATACTTGCATTTACACATTTTGGCATGTCCTTAATATGGGTTTCCTTTTCTTTTTCTGTATTTTGGATTGGATCCAAAAGGTTTTGTGTGATTATTTAAGAGCTGAAACCTTGTTGAGTAAAAAGAGTTTGATTAGTGAAATTTGAGAAATTACACATTGCCCCCAATCTTTATGAAGTACAAGATGCCTGTTGAATGACAATAAATTAATTTTAACCTATTCAGTGAATATGTGTACATTCTGTTTTAGCACGAACAAAATTTATAGATAAAACATGGCTAATCTAGCTGTTGGTGTTGATAGTGAGGACTGCTCTAGTGGCACTGATTGCTTTTATGCCCAGCAGCCCAAATGGTGCCCTTGGTTCTCTAGATTATAAGAAGGAAGAAAGACATGCTCTTGCCATCAAATCTCGTGAAGCTCCACCCAAATTCGGGACTCCTGAGCGCCAAAAGCTTATTGATGAGGTATGTTTTGCATAAATTACACCTGGATTAGGTGATTTTGGTTCTCTGTTAAAAATCTTTTTGGTGGCACAGATTCATGAATATATGTGGAGCAAGGCACCCCCTGTTCCTCAACTAAGCCCTTCACAGGCCTCAAAAGAACACCCTACCAACAGTGATGGAGGACCTCAGGCTAATCAGCAGGATTCTGTTAATATGGTTGCTGAGAACAGACCACTGAATCAGCAGGATTCTGTTGAAGAAGAGCCTCTGGCTCCAGCCAATGCTAATCCAGGCAACGCTGAAATGAGGATGAGGGCAGCAGTGAGCGAGATTCCTGCCAGGGAACCCAGTCATCAGCAGCTGCGAAGGCCGCCAGAGATGAGGGTTCAGAGATCTGCTGACGACCGCTTGTTTACATGGGCAGCTGTTGGACTTACCATTGCAATCTTGGTTCTTTTGTTCAAGAAGTTCACGAAATCTAGCGGACCTGGTGCTGTTTTCATGGGTGGTTCATAGTTCTCCCGGCAAGGATGTCGGTTGAGCTGTACTTGCTTTGCAGGATTAGTTCAACAAGAAGTAAGAAACCTATTAAAGACACATTGATTTGAATCTATATAGTGAATCAATCTGTAATATATATTATACCAGCTTGGTAAATTTCAGCTACTGTAATTAACAGTGAATGTCAACAATGGATTATCATATTTTTTATGCAAGTATAATCTCTTATTTTAATAAAAATAGAAAACATTTAAAATTATTATAAACTTTATAAATTAAATATATATAATTAGAATATTATTTATAATTATTGATGTAATATATTTGTCATTCGAAATTATAATAGATCGTATAAGAAAAAGGGTTAAACTCTATATAAAACACTCAAATAATAGAGACAAATCAATAAACGAACTTAACAAAGAAATAAACTATTGAAAGATTATTGAAAATTATAAATTAAAAATAAGTATCGTATTTACGATAGTAACCTGTATATTTAAAACTAATTTGAGGATCTAAAATATTAAGGATTAATATGATTATAAATAAGTGTTATTTTGATCAACTGAAACGATATCAAATTCAATCCAAAAAAGTTGATGAAAAAAAGTTTAAACGAACGAAAGACTATCATAGAAACATAGAAAAACACGTTGTAAAGATAAAATTATTAGAAAATAAAGAATAAAAAATAGATATGTGATATAAGAAATTAAATGATAAACTATGAATATAGGTGATCAGTGACCAATATCAATATTGTCATTATTAAAGAGAAGAAAAAAAGAAGTGAGAAGTGGCTAACCCTAAAAATAAGATGGTGATTATGCTGTTGATTTTTTCTGTTTTCAACCATCAGATAGAATTTGAATATATAATTTACGTTCATAGATAGTTTCCTCACGACGATCGAGTCTGATTTGCGGTTGTCGGTAGTCTTTCAATAATTTAATATCTTGTTGTGATTAGTTTGCCGATGCAATCAGATTTATTCGTATATGTCTTTTATTAAGTTTTTTAAATGAATTTTAAATTTTTTTATTGTATGATCTCAAGAGTTTGATTTATTGTATCAGTAATTATAATAAGTATTCTAATTATGGGTTATGATCCACTTACACAATGTAAATCTCTTTAGTTTTACATAGATTTAGAACCGTCAGATACGTAAAAATAGATGACTGAAATTGACTCGTTTTTTTTCCTATAATGAATATATTCTCATTTTCTACTGTTAATCTCAGTCATCTATTTTCACTCATCCAACTGTTCTAAATCTGTGTAAACCTAAATGATCTTTTCTCTCTAATTATATGTTTAATTCATATCATTATAATATTAAATATTTTTTTTAATAAAACTAACCACTCTATTTACACAGAAAATATAGTAATAAAGATTAAAGTCATAGAATTATTCAAATCCGATTCTAAGTACTACAAGTTGTAGTAAACTACTATTAACCCATGATTTATTTATTTCTTTAATCAAAGACGTCCATTAAATATCGAATTCAGGGATTATATTTACCAAAAAAAACATATGGGGTTATTAATTTAATAATTTTGATATTCTTAAGTGGCGTCCTTAGACAATAGACATATTATGTAAATCTAACATCTCTGTTCTTGATTTTAATAGATCATTACATTGCTTCATTTGATTTAAAAACTAAAATATATACAAATTTGGCATGTTCAGCATTTGGACATCAGTCTCAAATACTCTACAATTGGTATACATCTTGAATTGTAACTTTGTGAAGGTGACAATACCATACTAGCTTTCTTTTTCCAGTTTCATAGTGTGCCTAAGAAGCATCCATTGCTGCATCTTAGATAACAATATATATATAAATATTCAAGTATGCTTCGGCAATCGCAATCGTGGCCGTAACTTTTATAAGCTCCGTCGAGGCAAAGTTATGGTGGTTCTTCCCTGTGATTTCCACATTCTTGGAGATTTTACTCTCTTAGGAGACAAATTTCCGGAGTTCTCCATCAAAACGTCTAGCTTTGACGGATCTAACGATAAAGCATCTTCGATGAAAGCATCCAGATTGAATCCACTTCGGTTTCGATATCGTCGCCATTTTCATTAGCTCCTGCATCTTTCAAAGGCTCCTTTGCTTTGTTGCTAAGGCCTTGATCCAAGTTCAGGAATCTCTTTATGCTGTCAAGTGCAGGGTCAATGACATCTAAAAATCCCATCACCCATGAAGCATCGTCCACGACTTCGGTACGCTGTCACGTTCAATCGAAAATCATTTACAAGTTCTTGACACCTTCCGGATTCTAAGGAACTCAAAATTAGAAGGAAAAAAAACATTTCTTGTTCATTTTTCCCTGTACACTGACCTGCTGGAAATAGAGGTTACGGATTTCTTCAGCACGCACAGAATTTCCTTGGTCCTCCTCCAATGCTGCCCATGTCATCCATGTTACATAACTCTGCGAATTTATATTGAGGGACGATCGAAATAACCTTCTAGCCGCCGATAAGTTGCCGGCTCTTTGTTCCAAAACACCCCAAGCCTACAACAAATGGCGATTAGTTTAAATATATGCAGCAAGCAGGCAGAAGATTATCTTGTATATCAGTATGCCGCATATCATGTTATGTATTATCGATTACCTGTAAGCATCGAGCAGCACTTTCAGTAGTTGAGTCAATCGAAAGAGCTCTTTGGTACAACTCCCTTGCTGTTGATATATTCCCTTCCTTCCATTCCATCCAGCCCCATGCCTGGCGAGCTCAAATTATCAGCAAAGAATCAGTTTTCAAGTGGATGCATAGACAAATGTATTTGAACCGAAATTAAACAAAACATCGTCGAAAACGGACAAAAAGATGATTCCTCGAAGACTAAATAATGACACTATAGTCTATAAGCTATATGTCCACACAAGCAGAAAACTAGCATTTGGAGAGCTTAAAGGATTTCTTACAATCCACACTGGTTGGTGCCTCGGGTCCAGCTCAGAGGCTCTCCTAAACAAAACACGAGCTAGATTTGCGGTCGAGTGTTTATATTCCAACAACGCAAGAGACTGAAGTAAAACAGGATCTCGTGGGTTGAGTGCATGGCCTATCTTCAAAAGTTTTCTTCCCATGTCAACATTGCCTATATTAGCTTCAAAAACTCCCCAAACATGCCATGCAAACCTGTTCTTGGGGCTCGCTTGGACTGCTTTCTGCAGATTAAAACACATATCAGCCATGACAGTAAAATCGCAAAGAAAAATCAGTTGTGATTTGGCTTTCAAAGTGAAAATTATGCTCGAATCCCATACTGACGTATCTCTTGTTAAGTAGGAAGGATTACCTCAAATAGTAGCCTAGCAGCACGATTGTTTTCCTGTTTCACCTCCAATTGTGCCCATGCCTGAATATGACAATAAGAAAGACTTAATTGAAGCATATTTACATTCGAAATAAGTCGAGGTATGCCGCACTATAAGACTTACAAGCCAACTGGCACAGCTTTTTGGGTTGCACTTGGTGGCCTGCCTGAACAAGTACCGAGCCTGCTCGTACCTATTTGCTTTAGCTTCAAGCAATGCAAGGGTTTGATAGACATACTCATTCCCACCACAAAATTTGAGACCTTTAGCAAGCAGATGCCTTGCCTTCTTGACATTCCCCTGTTTTAGCTCTAGAACTGCCCATCCATGCCAGGCAGCTATGTGTCTTTTGTCGGCAACGGTGGCCGCATCGAAAAGTTCTCTCGCCCTTCTTATATTCCCCATCTTATTCTCCAACACAGCCCAGCACTGTTTGAAAGAGTATAAAAATGTTGTCAACTCTATATAAGAAAATAACAACAGAAATTGACCGTGATTCTTTATATTGATTCATGGATCTGAGCTATGCTTGCAGTAGCATAGAACCATACACACATTAAGGCTAAGATCCGCAATGGCCTCGGTCAAAATTTTAATAGCTCGCATACAAATAAGTAACCAACGAAAAGCTTCCTCTACGCTTCCGTTCGTCGAATCCAAACAAGCCAGACTATGTGAAATTACGAGTCTTAATCCCCCAAGAACCGTCTCACAATTCTCAAATGGATAAAAGAGCACATTTGCAAATGTAAATCCAATAATGCATCAATGGCAATGAACATCACAATGGTACAGGTTTCGTTTTGGAGTTTGTAGCATGAACTTCAACTTGAAAAAGAACAGACATCAATGAATTTGCTCATTCATTGCAGAGAATCAATGATGGCATTATCAAAGAAAAAAAATGCAAAACCTGCCAAATGTAGGGATTCTCTCCTTGTGTGGCTTGGCTACCTCTCTCGTATACAGCTCTCGCATCGGCCTTTTTCGATTGCTTGCCCAATATCTTCCCCAATGCTACATATGATCTCCCATCTTCTGGCCAATAGTATATACACTACCAACAAAAATACAAAAAACCCATTAACAAAATCTCCATAGAATCCCCCAATAAGCAACTCAAAAGCTCAATGCAACACTATGAAAATCACTAGAACCATGTAGCCATTAAGATTCTAATCGAACAGAGTCGAGCTCCATCCAATTCCAATCTAAACTCGAGTTTTCAAACTATTGGAGCTCGGCTTATTTAAGCTTCTTTACACGATCTATATACTCATACTTAAAGTTCAAGATTAAAATACATGTATATATAATTCTATTAATCTAGCTACCCTTTACCTTCTTCAATATCTTTTGAGCTTCATCGTATCGAAACTTCCTGGCCAAAACCCTGGCTTTATACAATGCCAAGTCCAAGTTCACCGCAAGCGGCTTCTCTTGAGCACCACCGGAGAACTCGCCTCTTTCGGGTTCGAATATAGGCATCTTCTTAGCGAAGTTTTCGAGACCAGCATCTATACCCGATGGTTTCGAAACGCCGTCGTTTCCGTCATCTTCTTGACCATCTTCTTCTTCAACGGGGACATCCATGGCTGGCCTTCGAACAACGAGGACCTTCTTGAAGTGTCTTTGTCGGCTTCCGAAGGGAGTTGGAGGTCGGTTTCTTGGTCCAGAACTGGGACAGACGGTGAGTTCGTAGCGCTGCATGGAGGAAGGGAGAGGAAAAGGCGAGTTTTGAAGGGAGGGAACGATTTGAAGGAGGGTTTTTTGGGGTTTTGAGGAGGAGAAAAGAGAGGAAAGTTGGGTTTTGGCGAAGAAGATGAAGGGGAGAAGAGTCGCATGCTTCTTCTTCTTCTTTTTTAAGTCTTTTTACTTGTGTTTGGTTTTAACTGATAAAACTGTCTAATTTTTCATGGAGAACGTTGGGCGGACAGTGGAGAAGAAGAGTTGCTAATGACAATTATGTCCTTTCTGCATGTTAATTTTTCAGATAGTTTGGGGTAATTACGTAATTGGGACACAACAGATGTGGTGTAAGAACAACCACGTAAGTCGCCCTTTTTCAGAGGCTCAGATTCTCTCATCCTACCCTTTACTTCTACAATCCTACATGGCCGCCTTTTATTGGTGTATAATCAAATTGTCAATATCTAAAATGATATATATATTATATATATATATATATATATGAAAATTATACACTATTTTTTCGATACCGTTTAACATTATTAATGATGAACACTATTAATTTAATTTATAAAAAATTAAAATTTTAAATTTTTTTACATATAATTATAAATTATTTAAAAAAGTAAATTATTTAAAATAAAATATTAATTACATTATTTTTTATAATTTTTTGAGTAAATTGTATTACTGATTACTTAACTATTGCTTTTTTTATTTTGATCATCATTTTTTAAATATTATCAATCAGATCATCCAACTATATAAATACATTCAGCTAAACCACTTATCATTAACATTTAACGGAAATGCCGATGTAGTTAGTAAAATTAGTATAATACATATTTTATCCTCAATATTTATAAATTCTATCAATTTTGTCATAATTTTAATTTAATTTAATTTAATAAATTTAATATATATTAAGTGGTGAGACATGTCATTAAAGGATATTTTATTAATTTTAATTATTTAATTATTTATTTTATCTTATATTTAATCAGGTGGTCTTCTTATCAAAGTAAAACACAATATAAAATATAATTTGCTTTTAAGGGGAATCGAACTAATTTTTATGAGCATCAAAAGGCACACCTAAACCACTGGGTTACACCACTCACTTAGTAAGTTTTTACAACATTTGATATCTCTGGTTTCTAGCTAAATACCATATAATATAAAGAAAACAAATTGAAAGGAAAATAAGTGACGGGAGGGAATTAAACTTGGGTCTCATGAGATGTTTGGGTGAGTTATTACTACTAGACCAACAATTAATTTTGACTCATGTCTCACAACATATTACATTTACCTATTATAACGAAAACAATAAAATGAATTAAATCTTACTTTTTTTGGAGAATATATAAACACCAAAACTATTTAAGCAAATTTAGTCAATAATTTATAAATATACACATTTTAAAATATAATTAATGTAAGATTTAAAATTATAACAAATTTAATATTTTAAAATAAAATTCAATGTGTATAAATATAAATTTAGTATTTTAAAATAAATTTGAAATTTAAAAAATCAATTTCACCAAATTCATATTCTAAACTATATTTATTTTTTATATAGTTAAAGAATAATCTTAATTTTTTAACATAATTATTTTATATATTTTTTCTTTATATTTAATCGTTAATTATTATATATAGATAATAAATATTATTTAAAAATATAAAAATCTAATTTTTTTTATTTAAAAAAAAACTCAATTTAACGATTATATATAATATTGTAAACTTTAATCAAATATAGGGTTTGAATCCCCTTAAAACTATGTTGGTATCCTTTTTTTCTTGCCATTAGTTATAACAACTTACATATAAAAGTTTGTAAACAATTACTAAGTGAAGGGCCTAGCCTAGTGGTTCAGGTGTGTTTTGGTGTGCTACAAATAATTGGTTTGATCCCTCTTAGAAGCATATCATATTACTTGTCACCACCTAATTAGAGATTAAATTTATTAAATTGAATTAAAATATGACTAAATTGATAGAATTTATAAATATTGAGGATCAAATATATGATTATACAAATTTTAGTAATTGCCACGTCAGTATTTCCGTTAAATGTTAACGACAAGTGGCTTGATTGAATGCATTTAAATAGTTGGATGACAAGATTGAAAAAATTTCAAAAATGATGGTCAAAATGAATAAAGGCAATAGTTAGGTGGTCAATAGTATAATTTATCCAAAAAATTATGAAAAATAATACAATTATTATTTTTATTATAAATAATTTATCTTAAGATTTTTAACTAATTTATAATCATACATTGTGAAAATTAGAATTTTAAATTTTTATAAATTAAATTAATGGTGTTCATCGTTAGTGATACTCATAAGTATTTTTCAAGTGTGACTAACTCATCCATATAAATATTCCTTTCTCCGCTAAATTACTATTAATATAAATCAAGCCATCTCAATATTTTAAAAAAATGATTAATATTTTTAAAAGTTTTAAATTTGAGTATAATATCTACAAAAATATTTAAATATTTATTATAAATAATTAATAATTTTTGAAACATATTTTATGTTATAATCACCCAAATTTAACAAAATGTCAATAAAATATTTTCATTTAAATTTAAACAAGTGGCAACATTTCTTTCACTTTTTTTTCTTTTTTGTGTTTCCATATCTTCAGCCGGTCCTTCTCAAATGCAAACTTCCATATTCGGATGGCGTTTTCCGTTCACATCACATACTACAAAATAAATTAATCAACACAAATCGTGAACAAATAGCCCATCTGTTTTTTTAATATTATTTAATCAGTAGTATTTAATTTATTAATTAATTATTTTAGGTTAGATTTTATAAATATTTTTTACGTCAATAATTTTTATAATATAATTTTCTCTATTAACAAACGTTAAATTTAAATTCTTAATTTTATTTAAAAGATTTAATGTTTTACCCCACTAAATCAAACGGTTATTGATAAATATTCATCTAATTTGATACAATAAACTCAAAGATTATAAATGGCTGTAATTTACGTTAATAAAAGCTAAAATAAGTCTAACATATACGTAAAATGAAAATCATACACAAAATAAATAAGGGTAAATTCACTATAAATCACCGAGTTATATTAAAATAATTATTTTGTTTATTACATTTTTTGAAAATATAAAATAGTTATTAAGTTTTTGAACAACCTTAATAACCATTTTATTATAATTTAATAAATTTGCACAAACTCCAGTAATCTCGGTGGTAAAGAAATTGTTTTATTTCTTAAGGTTTCAGGTTCAAGCATCAGGAATGTCAAAGGTATGAGCATTCAATGTCAAATGGTTGAGAGTTATTTTGAACATATACTATATTGTACTTACCAAAATTTAATAAAAAAAAAGTTATTTTGCCATTTTTAAAATTTTATTGATCAAAATAATTATTTTAATATTATTTATTGATCTCTAGTGTACTTTTCTAAATTATTTTTTCAAACATACACTACATTGTACTTACCCAAACTTAGTAAAAAAAGTTATTTTGCCATTTTTAAAATTTTATTGATCAAAATTATTATTTTAATATTATTTATTGATCTCTAGTGTACTCTTCTAAGAAATGACCATCCAGCTCAGTTGGTAGAGCACAAGGTTCTTAACCTTGAGGTCGTGGGATCGAATCCCACGGAGAGCATTTCATAATTCAGAGGTCTCTTACGGAAGCTGCTCTCAACCTGGTGTTGGGGTTAGCCTGCTATCTTACCTCCCCTTTACTCCATACATATGGAAAAAAGGGACAACCATAGTGTACTCTTCTAAATTATTTTTTGCTTGATCATCCTAAGCCTGTAAGCCATTATTCATTTAATATTAATTTTAAAAAATATAACTTTTAATTAAAATTAGGGTAAATTATACTATTAATCACTAACTTATTATTTATTTTCTATTTTAATAATTAAACTGTTATTTTTATAAAATTGTTATAATTTTTATTATTAATCTAGAGTGATTACAATATATTATGTGTTCTAAAAAAAATTAATCATTTGACAATTAAAATTCAACAGTATTTAATGCTCGAATCTAAAATCTTTGAAGATAATAATCACCTCTTTAATCTAATCAATAAGTTAGTCTGATATGTGTCATTGTTAAAAAAAATAATTTATTATTATTATTAAATAATAGTAACATTCATTATCGCTTTGAAAAATTGTATGCAAGACTTGACAGTGTCGAGAAATCTAAGCTAAGGTCACCCGGTTCGGTTTAATTTATCCAATTGGGTTAAACCGATTGAGCTCAGATGCTTTAATTCGTTCGCCAAATTACCGACAACAAGAAACAAGGAAAGCGCGTAAAAAAGATTTTAAAAAAATACTCCTCTAGTACTACTAAAATTATTTTTAATTATTTTTTAAAAATATTTTTTAAAATTTTAATCATAATTATTTAACGTGTTGAAATAATTAAATCTTATAAAATTTATACCGAAAAAACTACTCAATTTTCATTAAAAAATTTACTCAATTAAAGTTTTTAAATATTTTTAATAATAAAATTTAAATAATAAATTATTAAAATTAAAAGTATTTTTAAAAAACACTTTTTTAATGAGATAAAAAAATAAAATAAAATACAGTAAAGGGTCATTAAATTATGATAAAAATTTAATCAGTAATTTTTCATATATTATAAAATGCTGATTAAAATTATTAAATTATTTTAAAATATTATAAATAATAATAAATTTTAAAAAAATAAGATTATTTTATAATTTTTTAATAAATTTAAAAAGTATAATAAATAAAAAATATTTTAATATAATTTAATAACCTCCGATACATTACCTTAAATAATGAAAACAGTTATTTTCACGGCCGACAGTAAGCCGCACTTTTTTCTTGGATAAGTTTAAGCCGCTTTTTTCTGAGTGTTGTATTGGCGTTAGTATAAAACAGCTGATTTTCAGGGCCGACTCAATTCCTTCCCTGCAAAGTTGTCAGCCGCTTTTTTTCTTGGATCTTCGAGTTTTTGTCTGTTATGAAATCCACTTTCTTCTTTCTCTTTAATAAATTAGATTGTTTCGTTTCACTTTTTCCTCAATAATGGCAGGCGACAATTGTAGTTCCTCTCATGTTTCGGACATTACATCTTCGTCTCCTCCAATGTTCGAAATCGAGCTAAGGACAACGTTTATCATAGTGGAGAGAAACGGCGGCGTTAACGGTGAAGTTCCCATGGAGGTGGGGAGGATTATTTCTCACGTCATCCACGATTTCCCTTTGGAAGATCTGATTAACGATGGGAACGGCGCCGTTTTGGACATGTTCAACTCGATGCGCATCCCGGTTCAGCCGTCGAAGGTTGAAAAAATAGCGGCCTCCGCGGTTCGGTTGGCGGTGGCTGCGAGGGATGGAGGGTGCAAAGTTTTGAGAATGCGGGTGCAGGTTGAGGCGGTTGTCGACGAGGTGCCTGACTTTGGGAACGATGATGAAACAGATGATGAAAATGAAGAGGAAGAGGCCGAGGCGACAACGAAGGCGGCGGTGGCGGAGAATCTGGTGAAAGTGATGGTTGAAGGGTCGGGAAAGGATTGTCCGATATGTTTGGAAGAGTTGGAGGTGGGTTCGGAAGGTGTGTGCATGCCTTGCTTGCATGTTTTTCATGATCATTGCATTGTGGCTTGGCTCCACAAAAAGAAGCACTGTCCTTGTTGTCGTTTTAAGTTGTCTTAGGTCCAAGTTAATTAGTTTCACCTCAATTAGCATCGTTGTACTTATAATATATATAATAATATAAGTTTAATTATGTTTAAATATATAAAGCATTTTCGTTTGTTCGTGTCTGCATTATTTATAATTAAAAAAAATTAAATATATATTACATTGTAAATACTTTATATTATTTAAATATATATATATATATAATATTTTATAATTTATAGATAAAGATCAGAGTTGATGAAAAATTTTCGAGGCTTTGAATAGAAGTTAAAAAAATACTCCCTCCAGAATGAAAGCATATTTCATTATTTAAAAAAAATAATTTATTATTTTATTAATAAATTTTAAAAATATAATTAAATTTTATCAAAATATTACTTTTATTGTTGTATTAAGAAAATATCTTAAATAAACTAAAATAGTACTGACTTGTAATATTATTTAACACATTATTTTATTATTTTATGAAGATTGAAGATGAGACCCTAAGCAGGAGCTCATGGTGTTCCCATGAGCCGACTCTGATAAGGAAAATATTAAAATAGTTTAAACACAGTGGTGAATAGGGAGACGAGACTTAAATTCAACTAATTTTGATCTAATCCAACTTAATAAGGTCGAGTTTTCTTTAATTAGATTTATGTTTAGGTTTAGGTTTAGGATGAAAATACTCGATTCGATCAAAAAAATAATATAATTATATTTTATATATTTAGAGATAATTACAATAATATCACTTTCTATATTATTTTTTACAATTAATTCCCTAATTTATCAAATAAATTTAATATATATATATATATATATATATATATATATATATATGTTTGCTTCAGATTAGGTAGGGTACTAGTTTTATTTCAAATGACAGGCAGGGTTTCCGGTTTGGTGAAACCATCATGAACTCGGGTCGAGTCGAATTTTAGGTGGAGAGTGTATTATTTTTTACTCGGGTCAGGTTAGTCAAAAATTATGACCCATACCCATCTCTAGTGGTGAATCCAAGAATTTTATTCGATAAATTATCTATTTTACTGATTATGTCTACTATGAAATTTTATTTAAATTTTATTTGTACTCATCTTATATAAAATTTTATGTTATTAATATATGTATATTAATTCTAAAAATTATTTATATTTTTGTCATTGTTTACATATTATATAAAAAATCAAATTTTTATATTTCATAAATTATAATATCAATGAATTTGAATATTATTTATCACATTTTTCAACATTATATTTAAAGTAATATTTTAACTTTTAATATCAAAATCTAACACTTAAAATCAAAATCATAACTTTTATAAATTCTTTAACAATATTTTCAACTACAATAATAGAAGTAATACTTAAGACATATAAACTTTTATTTTAAAAAGATTATAAAAATAAAATAAAAAGATAATTAAATTTATTTATAAAATTACACTCAATTAAACCTTAATAAAAAATTATGAACATCACACAAAATCTATAGTTGACTATATATGCTGTTAAAAATCTATTAATGTGACAATTAAACGTGACCAGTTGTCTGTTTTCGCCAATTGACACGCTAGATTGACGATGAAATAAATAATATGATGACGACGTTGAAAAAGCAAACTGAAATTGGATTGGTACCCAATCGAAACATATTATGATTTTAGACTAATTAAAAAAAAATTATAACCCCTAAACCCATCATGAACGTTATGCCTATATCTAGGTGATTACGTATCATATTTAGAAATTTTTTTTATTTTTAAAACAACGTTGAAATTCACGTTTCATTGATATATAAAATTTATCCATAATAAAGATTTATACGATAAACATATATGAAAACATATTTTATAAAATCATAAAAACACATACATATCAAAATACCACAGAAAACCATGTAAAACATTTACGAAACAAAATATCGGTAATACAGATATATCCAAAACGATAGCAAAATACATGTCACAAAATACAATTGAAAAACATATAGAGATATATTGTAATACAAAAGTAAAAGTAGTTGATCTCCCCTGATGTCAAATCTGTTATTTTACGGTTGCTGTTATCTGAAAATAGTAAAATTTACAGAATGAGTTAAAAAGCCCAGTGTGATCCATACTGTGTAAAAATAAACATACAAATAAAATATTTCAGTAAAATCGATTTATCAAACATGTTTTAAAAACATGAACACTACCCCCATCCAATCACCAGAATGTGTAGGTTCACCCGAACCGTACACCCACCTGTACATCGGTAAGGCTTAACCTGTGCACAAAGCAGATGAGCCTAGGAAAACTGTAAGGCTTACCATTGCACACAGCAAATGAACCTGAGAAAACTGTAAGGCTTACCCTTGCACACATTAAAGAACCTAGGGAAACTGTAAAGCTTATCCTTGCACACAGCAAAGGAACATGAGAAAACTGTAAGGCTTACCCCTTACACACAGAAAAAGAACTTGTAATACTTCCTTCAATCATACTCCCAATGACAATAATAAACATGCATGTATTGGAGTGAAAACGATAATTAATCCATTAAAATATGGAAATATTCCATATTTAGAAATCATGTATAAAAATATCGTAACCATAAACCATATCAGAAATGTACGGTAAATCAGATATCAAATAAACAGTATTCAGAACATCATATATTTTCTCTTAAAAATATTTAGTATCCTGAGAAATATAAAACAGTTCATATAGATAGTTTAAAACAGTAAGATAACACCGTCAGGAAATACACCTGTAACAGTCTGAATAATTGGGTAGGGAAACCTACTACTGAATCTGTTGATCACGCTCTGCTGCAGCGCTAGATCATACGAATCGGAAAAATCCATATTGGAATCCTAATATGAATAATCTTAAATAAATAAGAAAAAATGCTAAAAAAACACTAAGCATTTTTGGGTTAACGAGTTCTATTCGGGGCTTTCGGGTCAGAATTTGGCTAAACGGACTTCGGAATCGAATTTAGGACGTCGAAAAATATAAAATATGACTTTTCAAAAATTTTGACTTTTTGGTCAAAATCAACGGATTTGACTGACAATTTGGAGGCTTTCGGGTACGAATTTGGAAAAACGGACTTCGTTATCGGACTCAGGACGTCGAAAAACATATAATATAAATTTTTGAGAAATTTGACTTTTTGGTCAACGGTTAACGGTCGATCAACAGTCAACGGTCAACGGGTCATGTCAATGGGTCGGGTCGGGTCAACAGGTCGGGTCAAACTGGGTCAAACTGGGTCAAACTGCCACCCCATTTTCGAACCTTCCCCACGCGTGGGGGCGCGTGAATAGTCATAGGGTTTTCGAAAAATGCCCGAAAATTTTCTAAAAATATTTTAAGCGATTTTAAGACACTTAACAAGCTCAGTTCAAAATTTTGAACGGTGGAGAGCTCGATTTCAACACGTCGGAAAATTTGACTTCCTCACCTCCCTCACGCGCCGGCGACGACGGAGACGCGAAGGACACCGTTGGACTCGGAACGACACAAGGAACACGATGGTGCGGGAGGTGTCGAAAACGGAGCAACGATCGGCGATAAATTGACGATTTTCACGGCAATGGTGTTAAAAAAATCGAAACTTTGAATCGAAATTCACGGCGTTTGACAACGTTTCGTTACGATCGGTTTACGGGGTTTTGTTCACCGGTCAACGAGGAACACGACGGTGACTTCGGATCGACGATCGGTGACCGGACGACGTCGAGATCGAGTTTGAAAGTAGGGGTGGGGAAGGAAAAGTTTAAGTAATTGTTTTATGTTCCGAAAACACAAAACCAATTGCACCTATTTAACAACATTTCTACCGACACTCTATGAGGATATTCAGGGCTTGGTCCCTGAATTTCTTTCAACTTCTAAAATAATTTACAAGTTTTGGAAATTTTAATTTAATCCTCAAATTTCACCAAATTACTTAAATATAAATATTTTTTTTTTATTTTTCTGGGTTGTTACAAAATTAAAGATGTTTTACGAATGAAACGATCTTAATTATTAAAAAGATAATTTTTATTTTTAAAATTTTTGAGTTTGAATACGATGTACGTAAAAGTATTTGAGTATTCATTAATCACCTAAATAAAAAGGGGTAAATTATACATTTAATACCTAAATTATTACTTTTGTACAATTTTACTGTCCAAATTTTTTTCCCAATATCATATATAATATTTAATTTAGATTTAAATTAGGTATCTTCATATTAAAAAATTAACAATAGTTACATTTTCTTATTGTTTTTTAATGATGATATGACATTAACTTACGGTGATACGTCAATATCACCGATAAATTTTTAATAGCATGATATTAAAATGAAACTTAAACTAAATCACAATAAAAGTAGTAGTTTAAGTGTTAAACATATTGTTTAGCCTAGAAAATTACAGGGGTTTTCCCATTTATTTGCGCCAATTGACTGTTCGTGTTGTCGTTTTAAGTTGTATTAGGCCTTGCCACATGTATAAGTTGAGAAATACTTTTCAAATTGCAACCAACCAATGCTAGAGTGGCAGTTTTAGTTGATTTAATTTTACCTCAATTAGTATGGTTGTTATTATAATATATATTAATATAAATTTAATTGTATTTAAATATACGATATTTTCTAATGAGAAAATAACCTCAGTGACCGAAAATGCCTTATAATATACGATTTTGACCAACTTTTTTTCAATTTGCCAAAATGACCAACAAAATCGCAATGCGATCTCTAAATTGCAACGCGATCTCCAGTATCGCAAATCAGTTTCCAGATTCGCAACGCAATTTTGACTATCGCATTGCGATTTTCCAAATTCGCGTTGCGATTTTAGAAAATCGCAATGAGAATATGTAAATCGCAACGCGATAATACAAAATCGCAATGCGATTTTCAAAGTGCCATTAGTATCGCAACGCATATTTTATTTTCAAATTCTAAACACGAATATTAATATATCCCGTAATCGTAACTCATAACCTAAAACCCTAAATCACAACTCAGTCCTATCTCCATCTCTCACTCTCTACGACGACATCTGTCCCCATCTCCGGCGAAATCCGTCTATCTCCATCTCTCAGAGCCACCCTCACAATCATTCACGGTCAGAAATGGAAAATCAACCACCGAGGGTTAGTTTTTTTAATTATTTTTTTGAAATTTTTGCGTTATTATTAGGTTTTTCATATTGAAATTGATTATAAGTTTACTGGTAATTTCAATAATAGATTAACCATTTCACTTAGATTGCTTATTAAATTCATTCGATTGCTGTCAATACTGCTAAATTGTTTAGTCTTTAACCCTGTGAAGTTAGTATTTGTCTTTGTTTTGTCTTTTGGTTGAAGTAATGCAATTCATTCAAGTTTCAATTTTAGACAATGACTATTTGAAACTGAGAATCGTAACGCGAAATGAAAATCTCAACGCGATTTTAGTTTCGCGTTGCGATAGTCATTTTCGTGTTGTGATTTTCATTTTCGTGTTGCGATTTTAAGTTTCAAAACTATTCTTCTTCTGCAAATTGAAACTTAAATGAATTGCATTACTTCAACCAAAAAACAAAGACAAATACGAAATTCACAGTGTTGCAAATTTAAGTTTGAAGAATAAACTATTACTACTCTTTATGTTTATTATTATTTTTGGTATATCTTCACAGTTAGTTTTTGGTATGTCTAACTTGGTATGTTTATTATTTTTGTAGAATTTTTTTTCGGCTCAATTGACCTTAAGGAATAAAATAAGCTTAGTCACTACAATTGCGTCGAAGCTTTCAGCTATACAAAGAAAATTGTTTGAGGATACTTGCTTCGGGCCATGGCTGAAAGTACAACATCCGGGTGGAGATGCTATGTTGACCCATTTGTGGCTTCAGACCATGACTAACGATCTACCCGAGAGTATAAACGATCTACACTTCAGACACGATGATGTAGGTCGATACACTAGTCATATTACACGCCCATCATGGTTATCCCGGGTTTTTCCTGAGCTGTCAATGGAGAAGCCGAATTTACACGTCGACGACTTGACGAGATTAATTAATAAGAAAGATGGTTTTACTCGGATAGATGACGTCGATGTTGTCCGAGTATGCCTTTTAGTACTTTTGCATGCCGACTTTTTAGGCAGAGAGGCCAGACAACCTATTCCTAAGGACCTAATATTATTGGTAGAGGACCTAAATACATGGAACATGTTTCCGTGGGGTTCGTATCTATGGAAAGCTACCTGGAATAAGTTGTCGTCTGCCTTTGATGACCGAAAAAGTTTACGTGGCGATGGTTCCAAATACACTTTGTCAGACTTATTTGGGCCTTTAAGGTAAGAATTTCTATATAATGTTTCCAAAATTATAATTAATTATTTAACAATTACTAATGTTTGTGTATTATATTGTTTGTAGATTTGGATATTTGAGGCTTTTCCCGGCATGCAGACATATGCATTAAAACTTCAAATGATATTCCTAGGGCTATTTTCTGGAAGAGGAAACGGCGGATGTTAGATTGAGGAGAGTTACTATGGTATACGATAATAAATGATGTAAGTTAACACAAATACTACTATATATAAACAAGTTATTACTAGTACACGTTTAACTTTTTTTGAGCTTTTATATTGTTAGGAGGCCAACACTCCATTACAGAGGCTGACACCCACGGAGGCTGAGCTTGCCACTGATTGGTGGTAAGCTAGTAAGCGTTTTTTTGATGGCACGAATGATGAACAACCTCCACTTCGAGAGCCATCACCTCACCCAGAGCCATCACCTGATCGACCACACTATACACCTCTACAACGAGAGCCATCACCTATTCCGTCACATCATCGAGCCTCTTCTCTACCATCACCTCATGATAGGCGATCAGAAAAGATGCCACAACATTTATCTCCATGTTCTCCACCTCTACCTCCACGGGATGAGTTAGGGAGTTACGTGATGAGATCAATGCCTTGCGTGAGGAGGTCGGTACTTTACGCGATGACAATGGTGCATGCCGTGATGAGGTATCTACTTTACGTGGTGAGGTAGCCGCTCTACGTGAGATGGTAGTATCGTTGCAAAATGAGGTTCATACTCTACGCAACGAGGTAAGTTTAAGATTTTTCATATTTAACTTGATTTACTCGTAATTTCACTTAGATTGCTTGATAAATTTATTCGGTTGCTGCCAATACTGCTGAACAGTTCTAAAATAACCCTGTGAAGTTAGTATTTGTCTTTGTTTTGTCTTTTGGTTGAAGTAATGCAATCCATTCAAGTTTCAATTTGCAGAAGAAGAATAGTCGTAACACGAAACTTAAAATCGCAACGCGAAAATGACTATCGCAACGCGAATTTGACTATCACAATGGGATAATCGCAATGCGAAATAAAAATCGCAACGTGAAACTAAATTCGCGTTGTGATTTTCATTTTCGTATTGCGATTTTCACGATGCAATTTTTATTTCGCATTGCGATTATCCCGTTGCGATAGTCATTTTCGCGTTGCGATTTTAAGTTTCGTGTTGCGATTTTAAGTTTCAGAAACTATTCTTCTTCTGTAAATTGAAACTTGAATGGATTGCATTACTTCAACCAAAAGACAAAGACAAATACTAACTTCATAGTGTTGCAAATTTAAGTTTCAATAATAAACTACTACTCTTTATGTTGTCCTTGAACATGTACTAAACCTATATGTTGTCCTTTTAAATGTTTATATAAGTGCTTACTTCTGGAATGTTATCTGATGTATTTTGTGAACTATGATAGAATAATGACTTGGGTGAATACCGTGCAAGTTTGAAACATATTTGTCTTTGTTTTCACTGTTTAATATCATGTCTGTTTATTTACTGATTTATGTATTAATTTATTTTTAGCGGCCCGATAAGGTGGATGCTTTACGTCGGGTTTTTATTGCACGACGGGGTTCACGCATCAGACGGCGTGCACGTGCCATTACGTCTCCGTTCACCCCAATAGTGCGAAGACTCCGTAAGAAGAAGCCCGACTCACCTGTCATCGTTCAAGAGGCCTCTCCTATCGTTCAAGAGGCCCCTATCATCCTCAAGAGTCCCCTTCCACCGTTCAAGAGGCCCCTGTCATCGTTGAAGAGGTTTCTCCCACCATTCAAGAGCCCGATTCACATGGCGTAATATGTCGAATTATTGAGAAACCCTCTCACGTGCCGGACATGATGGATGAGTGTTGGCTTTCGTATGAGTTACCGGCCAGTACTATTCCGGCAGATGAAGTGGATATGAGAAAACTACCAGAAACAATTCTGGATAATACCCTTTGGGCTAAGACCGCAGTTGATTTTTTTCTACATGAGTGGAGCCAGGGGTGTTACGCTGACATATACAAACTCAACGATGATATGTATTTGTTTCTTGATCGGTCTTGGTGGGGTGTGTTATTAGGGGTTGAAGACAATGGCTATTTCGATGGGGGGTAAGTCTTATATTTTTCTTATATTTCATTTTGATTAATTTTTTTTAAAATTTATATAATTCACTAATATATGTCTTTTTTTGTAAAACAACATATTGATGCATGGGTGTCACGTCTTCTAATAATGAGGAAACTGAGGAAAAATAAAAAAAATACGCGATATACAATTATGTCGACGTCTTTTCACGTAGTTCACTTGAAGAATCAACGAGATGAATCATATGTGTTGGGTAATGGACAAGCTAAACTTTATCCTGCATGGTGGAAGGTCGATAAGGTTAGTATTTATTTTTTAAATATTTTAAAGGTGTTCATAAATAAGTGCGCAATTGAATTATTACTTATGATTGCAGGTGTTTATCCTTGTTTTGGAACATAATCATTGGTTTCTTGTCGAGCTTCAACTCCCATCCCTGAAGACAATAGTATATGACAGCATGATAAATTACATATCATTGTCTGATTTGAGAGATATTATTAAGGGATGGAGCTCTCATTTGGCTAAATTCTTGGATGCGATTAATTATTGGACTTATTCTGGAAACAAGAAGCCAAAGAAGTTCAATGTTACAGTTATCAGAGACGAGACCGCTCCACAACAAACGTAGGGAGCCAGAGGGGATTGTGGTCCTCTCGTATGCATGTGCTTGGAGCGTTTGACGACAGGAAGTATACAGTTTCTACCTCCCACCGATAGAGATAGAGGTGCAGTAGGCTTGTGGTTTCTGCATTTTATGGCTAGAGAGATATATGCGAGACGTTGTCTACCTGCATCCGGGTTATGAAAGTGTCCATAAACAATTGGTAAGTCAAATACAAGTGTTGTTAAGTACCTAGAATTCAATAATTTGATGTTTGTTGGTTTTAGATATGTAGAAAGTGTTGTTTGAGCAAATGTTTGGTTTCTACAGGTTAATCTTGAAGTGAGCTACATGAAATTGATGTATGGGTGCATAAACAACTGTCTGGGGTACACTTTTTTGATTGTTTAATTGATTCTTAAAAGTTGATTTGTTTAATTGATGAGGAAAATAAGAATTATTATTATTTTTGCTTGTTTAATTGATTTGTAAAAGTTGATTTGTTTAATTGATGTGTAAATAATTCTTATTTGTGCTTGTTTAATTGATTGAAATATAAAAGTTGATTTGTTGATTTCAATCTGCATCATATTAAAGGCAAAAGACCTGTTGAAGGTACACTTTCACAACGCTAAACTCAAAATCGCAATGCGAAAATCAAAATCGCAATGCGAAAGCCAAAATCGCAACGCGAAAGTCAATTCGCGTTGCGATAGTCTAATACGCGTTGTGATTTTCTCGTTGCGATAGTCAAATTCTCGTTGCGATAATCAAATTCACGTTGCGATAGTCAAATTCCCGTTGCGATAGTCAAATTTGCGTTGCGATAGTCAAATTCGCATTGCGATTTTTGCGTTATGATAGTCAAATTCGCGTTGCGATAGTCAAATTCGCGTTGCGATATTCAAATGAATGTGTAATAAGTGATAACAACTGAATAGATCATAGCAATGTTCAAACTCAAGTTACTAATACATGCCTAAATGAAAATGTTAAAAGTTTACACATAAAATACACATAATACAACGTTTGCATTTAAAAATTACCTAAGTTAATAGTCCCAAAAGGTGAAGCCGGTTGTGATTGGGATTTTGATTTTGATTGCGATTTTGATTACCTTTTTATTGACACCATATGAACTTTGGTTTTTGATGAAGATCCATATTTTGGTAGAGGAAAATATGATTGTAATGGCACTGGTGATCCACATGTCAACCTTGTATGACCACTTTCCTTGAACCAACTACATGTCGATCTCTTCTTCTCTTCACCCTTAGACGATATACGATCGTGACTTTTTGGTCGGCCAGGCAGCCTTCTGTCCATGGCTGGTGGCAAAACTGTTTGTAAGTCATCTGGTATGTCCCACTCAGAAGAATGTGGAATAGGGTAGATAATCTCGGTATAAGTCTGTCGATATACTTCTGTAGTGTAGCAATCCATAGCGTATGCGCTTGAATCATCTTGGTTTAGATGAAGAGCAACTTTTATAACATGGCCACACGGATAACCAGACATTTGCCATTTCATACAACTACACGTCTTTGCATTTAGATCGACAAGCCATTTAAGTTATTATCCAATACTTCAAACAAAGTGTTTGAACATGGTTCAACTCTCCATGACGTTGACTTCACAACACGTTTCGTTATCTTTTTTTCAGTCCATGGTGTAATACGATGTTCCAATATTCCTGTAAATTTAAATAAATAATACATGCATGGTTTCTTTTTTTGTAGTACCACTGTTGAATAGAGGCTCGAAAAAACTCCATTAACATAGTAATGGGTAATTTCCGGGAATGATGACTTAGAGCGTTGATTGATTCTGCACTATTAGACGTCATGAAACCATATCTTGCTCCAAGTTGATGCATTCTTGACCATCTTTCAAACCGACATCTTCTAGTGTTTGAGCACACTAAGGCAAAACACGTCTTAAACAATTTATATGCTTATTAAAATCCACTTCCCGATAAGCTTTTACAACCTTCCAGTATGTCCATTTGTGATTTTTTATACCAACAGACCTTGATTTTAGATTTCTATATAAATGAATACCACAAAGTCCATGAAAAGCATCTGGGAAACACCTTCTAACAGCGTTGTCAATTGAGTTTGCCCTATCGGATATGATTGTCAGATTGCTAATAGGACCTATGCAATCCCTAATATGCCCCATAAACCATGTGCATGAATAAGAGATTTTAGATTTGCCAACCCCGTAAGCTATTGGTAATATCTCATTGTTAGCATCCATGACTACTGCTAATAAGTTTACTCCAAGGTATCGACCTTTCAAATATGTTCCGTCAACTATAATAACTGGGCGCATGCAAGTAATAAACGAACGAATCTACAAAATAATATACACAATAAATATAATCTTTTAAATGTGAAATGCATGTAACTAACAAAAATGAGTCAACAAAATTATATTGATTTACTAACCGCAGCACCAATGACGATAAACAACAACTCAAAGCGTCCATCTCTATCTGTTTTGATATGAGTTACCGACCCAGGATTTTTCAGCTTTAAATTGTGACAATAAGCCGGCAGTTGGGCAAACGATGCTTCTGACGACCCCCTCAACAATTCCAAGGCATAACATTTGGCTCTACAAGCTTGAGAATATGAGATACTAATCTTGAAACGAGCATTCATGTCAGTCATAATTTCATGTCCCCGATATACCCTGCCATTCAAAAACATTAATTCAGCCAGAAAACCACCCAACACCTTTTTGTTTGCCTGTCTATGGTGAGGAAAACTTGGGTTCTTGAACATGTATGTTTATCAATAAAAGTCCTAACTTGAAACATTTCGCAATCTTTTATCCTCTTTGCAATCATACGTCACGTACAGTTTTTTTCAATCATACACCTTGTTTCGAAACGATCTTTGCTTGATTTGTTAACTTTTAGTTGATAGCCATCTTCCACACATTTCGTATACAAAGCTATCTTCAAGTCTTCCTTTATATCAAAACAATCATCTTTCTTGATACGAATAATTTTTGTGTAACAATCAACTGCTATCTTTACCAACTCTTCTTCCGGTATCTGAAGTAATTCTGGCATATTCCAGTTATACTCCCGTGGCATTTTCTTCGGGGACTTTTCTTCGGGGATTTCTTCTTATTCTTTTTCTTCTCCAGGGTTATATGAATTACAGAATGGATGTTCAACATGTTCATTCACATTCGTAACTTCCTCCTCATTATCATCAACAACATCTTCCTCGGCAGCGGCTGTTTCATCATCAAAATTTGGGTATTGACCAATATCGAAATCATTACACGTAGGGTATGTTTCTTCTTCTGAAGCATCATCAAAATCTGATTATTGACCAAGATCAAAGTCCGGGTATTGACCAAGATCAAATTTCGAATACTGACTAGTACTCACAATTTTTTCTGTTGGCTCATCATCGTCTAATTGGTCAATACGAAACCGGAATTTGGTGCTGAAAGTTGATTGGGATTTAGATTAGGGAAATGTTGTGGGTTTTGAGATTGTGTTTGGTATTGGAAATGTGGTGAAACAAAATTTTCTTGGTGATGAAATTGTGGTGGAACCATTAAATTTGAGCACCATAAACTGAGGTTGAAAAACTTAGTTGATTACTACCCGCTACTGACCCAACTTCACTACTTCTAGGTTCAACAACATACAATATAACATCATCTTGCGAAACACTAATGTAAGCAATGAATCGTTCAATATCTTCATTGTCGGTTAACAAATAAACTTTACCCTTTATCTGATAAGATAGCCTAAATCCACTTAGGGGCTCTAAATTCAATTTATTTGCAACACGTAACATTAGAGTTTCATAAGTTAAATTTTTTAATGACAGTTTTAGTTGAAGATCATGGGTAAAGGCATATATTGTAAAACACCATGAACATTCTCCCATGACCCTCCAAAACACAAATCTATCCAAACATGATCAACATTAGATGATTTCATTATTTTAAATTAATTTACTAAACAAACGAGCTGCGAAACTAAAACCTGTTGTCGGATGGGGAAGGATGTCGTTGGATATAGGAATGGATGTCGCCGGAGAGAGTGATAGATGGAGATGGAATGAGTTACGATTTAGGGATTTAGGTTATGAGTTACTGCAGCTGCGTAGTTATATACCCAAAACATTTGTGTTGCAAAACTAAAACCTGTTGCGAATTTGAAATTCAGTGTTGCGATAGTCAGAATCGCGTTGCGATAGTCAGAATCGCGTTGCGTTAGTCAGAATCGCGTTGCGATTTTGTATTATCACGTTGCGATAGTCAAAATCACGTTGCGAATCTAGAAACTGATTTGCGATACTGGAGATCGCGTTGCGATTTAGAGATCACATTGCAATTTTGTTGGTCATTTTGGCAAATCGAAAAAAAGTTGGTCAAAATCATATATTATAAGGCATTTTCGGTCACTGAGATTATTTTCTCTTTTCTAATTTATAGGTAATAAGAGAATTAAGGCAAATTTAGTGAAATAATCCATGTGAATTTCTTTTTTTTTTTGAAAATACAGGCTTTAGAAGTTAATTTTAAGATTAATTCATTTGTTATAATGGACATGAAACTTGTTGCACGGACA